TTATGCGTCGTATATAACTGTTTTTAAAGCGTTTAATTCATCGAAGCTAGCTTCAGAGATAATTTTACCTGACTAATCGAACATTCTCAATTAATCTTCTGGTTAATTGTCTACGACGGCTTCTGCAAATAGATGAAAATACGGCCTAAATTGACGTCAAATATTCAGCAAAATTATATAAATCGTATTTTTATGAAAATGATGTAATAATTGATGCCGTATACAAAATTGAAGCTTGTTTAAGAGGAGGAAATTTTTGATCCGTTATTAATCTTTTTGATCCCCTCTTCTTTATCTTCCCTTATCTTCTTAATTAGTAATTGCAAATAAAATAAGGTCAACTCTAGGACTACGTACGTCTAGGTTAACATAGGATTTAGTGCAAGAGATGCAGACATATCGACGCCTAACTGTCATGTGGTTGCGAAAAGTAGCCAGAAACTAGTTCTCTAGGGTTGTACGCAATATTCTTTAAAAACGACATAGAGCGAAGACTCGATGAAGGAGCTTGCGAAAGCAAGGTGAAAATATGTTAAAAGATATACAGTAGAGTAAGCGTTACTTTTACGGGAGACTTGTTTCTCCATAACTAAACATCATGAATTAGTAATAGGACTAGTAGTAGCCGATTATTTTTCTTACCCTGTTTTGCTTCATTTTTTTTTTTTTCGTCTTTCCATGTAATCTTTGAAATTGCGCTCAATTAACTGAAAATTTTATTTACTGTAATTAAAGTGTGAAGAACAATTGAACCCAGGTGCAGCTAATTAGAAATAATTTACTAATCAGATCTTATTTATGTAGATATAGTTTACAGTTTTTTAATTTATGGTGCATTAAACAAAGCCAAGTCATTTTGTGGATGGTTGCCGTTTAGAAACTTTTATTACTATTATTATTATTATTGTAACTGCAAACCTATACGACAAGGGATGTGTAATTACTTTATCTAAGAGAAACTATAACATAAACATAAAAACAATTCGACTGAAGGGTCAGCAATAGGAGAAATTCACGTGGAAAAAGAACTTCATAAAAGCTTGAACGAAGCAGGAACCGTGGTCTCTGAGTATGACTTTATGAATAAAACGCGTAAGACGTCCAAGTTAAACGACAGCAAGAGCAAGACACTTCAATGCAATAACTAACATGCGGCATGAAGAAAGGTGGCGCAACAGCGTAATTAACTCGAAGAGGCAAATGCAGCTTCAGATTGTACAGTTTTCGTAATGTAAGGTAAGTTTTTGTAGGAAAGAATGCGAAAGTTATGATATTAAACTTTACCTGGTGAACGCAGAAATTAAAGTAACTATCGCCCTATATTAAGGGGCCTGCCTTAACAACAATCACACAATTAATAGCTAAAACCTTATAGACATCAGATTTAAATTGCTTATTGTTTTGTAAGTAAATAACCTTAAATACATTGTTTGCTCACGTATAAAGCGTGCATAATAGTCTCCCCTTAAGTTTAGAATAAATTACAACGACGTTCAATTTAAATGTAATCGAAGCATTTTAAATTCTTTTGTCATAGAAAATATCTTGAGCAATTTTACGCTACTTTCATGAGAAAGAGAAAAAAAAAACTCGTTTACGTAATTAAACGGTTTATGCTTCCATTACCCACTAAATTATTGTACAATATTTTGTAATTAATTGTAATCATTCTGCTGGGTTCTGACACTTTGATCAATAAAGTTTGCTCTGTAAGGAAACGATTATTTTCACGACCCTTCAAAGACATTATTTGCAGCTAATTACAAGCCTTGTCGTTGAATCGTTTAGCTCAAAGATTCTAATTAGATCTGTGGCAGAAAAGTTTTAGATAATAGTACTGATTAACAAAGACCGCACAACAATAACGGTGTCTTGCCATTTCTTGACATCAAACTAAGGTAAGGTTCATCACAATATGAAATTTCTTCTCGATTCTATATGTTTAGTTCATTTTTTCCATAAGATACCCACACTTTATCACTTAGTTTCTATATTTTCAAAAATCGCAGCAGATGGATGAGTTAATCACAAGATTCTCTAGCACCTAAAAATTTGCAAAGAGAATGCATATCTTTGCAAAGAGAATGCTCTTTAAACAGCTTCATAATGCCTGTTCGAACTTACAACGATGGTACAATTTATTTACGCCACACCTCTTTCCCAAGCTTTTCTTAATCGAAAACGACAACTCTCTATTTTTTACCCGTTGCTTTCGATGTCAGGTCTTGCTGTAAATGTCACAAGTCCTTCTAACGTCCGGAACTTATGGGAGATAAAAAATCGTATGCTTTTTCTACATCCACAAGTCAACTATCAAATGATGTTCTACCAATAATGCTATGACTGCCACTGTCTTATGAGTAAATAGCTCAATACCACTCAGACTATCTGGCACCAATCACAGGAAATTGTTTTAAAAGCGTTCCTACAACTGGACGTTTACTAACTGTAGGTACCACGTCTGTTCAATTGCAATTTAACAAAATATTTTATTTTTATTTAAAAAAACTATGTTTAGCTGTAGTCGAATCTACTGTACCTACAACCTTTGTATTGAACTAGAATATTTATATGCTTCAGTTTATCAGTAATGAGTAAAATAACAGATTTTTTTTACTGCTATTAAAAAGAGACGTGGTCTTTTTTTACATGATACTGTGGGCGTGTCCTTTAATTAATTTTACTGAATTTCAAAATTACCCTGTCTACAATAACATCTAGCGCTTTTGCCAAATTTGACGTCAAACAAACCGACAGACAAACAGGCGGACAGGCAGACGGACATCCTTAGGTCGATTGAGACCTAACATACATTAGCAACATACCTATTTTATGGGATGTCTGATACTTTTTTCTAGTTGCTGCAAGCCTGTTGACGAACTGAACATGCCTGCATCCTTCGTTAGTATTGTATTTAATTTATTCCAAAAATGGATTTTAAAAGGAACGGTAATACACACACAAACGAGACGAAATTTATTTGAAATGTATTTATTTAGCGCGGCGATCTCTCCATACGAACTTAAAGACAATATTGTATAAACGGAATTGTTTCTCTATTATTATGTCTCAGCGATCCAGTTTACCTTTATGCACTATTCAGTTTCCTTAAACTGTATATGGGCAAAACGAGGCAAAGGAGATTACCGCTGTTATGTTTTAAATTTTTTAATTGTCAGACTTACAAACATATTCCGTACAGCGTCAAGGACGCGTCACAAACCGTGTTTTCGTCAAGCGGTTTTTATGGCGTAATTGATATCGAAGTGTTTTATTGTGACTAGTGCGGCGGAAATTTAATTTTAGTTTGGTTATTTTATTCGTATAATTATTTAGTTGACATTTATTAATTTCGCCATAAAGTATAATAAGGGGAAGGTGTACGCCTTGGTGCAAAAGCTAACTAAAAGTGTGAACTATTTTCACTTCAAAACATTCAAACACGCCGAGTAATTATGGTAAACAGACAATCGGACGGTATTCTCCATTGCTTTCGGATTAAGGAATAATTTTATCAAATTTTTCATCGAGATGGTAAAGCAGAATTCAAGAGTAACAAAGCAATCACCTGCCTGTGATTGATCGGGTAAACTAATCCGAAGAAAATTGCAATTCTCAAATTCTTATGATTAAAGCATAGGCAACACAGTTTCCCAGAGCTTTGACTCGGTATACTTCTGCGCCAAAAAAGACTCAGTTTAAGGAAAACTTTACTTTTCCTGATTAATTCGAAGGGATGTTATACTCTCCCGGCTACTTCTTCCTGATAGGCGACTTTTTCTTTAATAGACGACTTATTGTTTGCTCGAACGATGCTGCCATTCTTATGACGATAAGCAAATATGAATTTTTTTGCGAATAGCTTCAAACGAAAATCTATTTTCTCAAGATGGAATTTGAAAATTGCCTAAGCGATGGGAAAAGTAGTAGCCACCGAAGGCGAATATATTGTTTGTTGATTGACTTTCTTTTGAAATGAAGGAAGGAGCTTAAAAAACGTTACGTTGATAAAGTGAAACTTCTGTAGCTATTGCCAAGACGAGCTTATATCTTTTTGACTTAGCGAGTGACCATCGTACCTTAAGACTTTCTCGCAATCATTCTACAAAAGAACTTGACTCGCAAACTAGAGCGCTGACTTACTTACAGCTGTCCGTAACGGCTTTCCTGATAACCCAAGACAAAAACACACACATGCATCGCACAAGGATAAATAAAACAAGTTCAACTCAAGCCCAAACTAGATTTACAACCTATTCATAAATTTTTCAATACATATGCACACGAACAGCAATGCAACGAGTATTAGCAATAGTGTATTGGTAAGCTGGAGACTTTTTGAACGCATACACGCTCCTAACGAATATATCATATGTTATTTCAACGTTCATTTATCTGTCTGAACGCACACTTGTAGAGGCGTGCATTCATACCGACTATCACGTTTAGATATAAATAAACAAAATAAAAACAAAATAAAAACAAAAAAAACATATGTAAAAGTCGTGTACAAAGTAAAAAGAAGGAAAAATAGAAAATAGAGAAGAATCCAACATTGAAAAGTAAAAAAGATTGTCGTTAATGCGTCCACACAAAAGCCGCGTTCTTGCTTGAAATGCACTGTAGAAAAAGAAAGAGACATACTCTAGAGGCAAAAAAAAAAAAAAAAAACAAAAAATTCTTTTATTCTGATAAAGGTGTAGTGTGCAACTGCTAACAACAACAAACAAAGTACATGAAGAATGCCAAACCTTAGTATGCTTAAATGCTTTTACTTATATCACACAATGACTAGGCAATCGCCTGTACAATAAGGTACTTTTGGTGTGAGACTCGTGAGGCTCGCTATATTGTATTCTTAGGAACTTCACGAGGTTTCAGTTGAAATTTACAAGTCGGCGCAACAAGTCAAAAATATTGTAATGAATACATCGCGTGTGTCGACGTGAGTGCCTTTTGTTTTGCGCTTTAATAAAATCACAATAACGGTTAATAATTGAAGAAAGCTATACATGTGCACGAAATATATATATTTTAAAAAAGAAGCAATAAAATCGCACAATTTCAAATATGACAATTCTCAGTATAGCGGAACGCTAATGTACGTTTGAACTAATTCGGTTCATTGTCCTATGCTGACCTCAAGTCATTTATTACTTTGTGTATGTGTATGTGTGTATGTGTGTGTATGTGTCACTTGATTATAGCATAATGTGTAAATTCTTTCCTCATTGCATCGCCACCAAATCTAGAAATATAGCTAAAATTTATAACAAATATTAAAAACAAATGTAACAAAATAAAACAGAATAGAAATTATATTCGGCTTTCGCCGAATTTCGTTATCCCCCTCTAAACTACTTCATTACGATATTACGATCATTATACAAATTCGCGCAATATCTAACAGCAAGACGAATAAGAAGAGGAAGCATATCAGATTTTCTAAAAGTTCTCGGCCGAAAACTCTTACCTCATTCCGTTTTATTCCAATTTTTTTTTTAATTTAATTTTGCGGACTTCGTTGTAATTACCTTTCGAGCCATTCCTGCATCCCGGCAATGCATTCCTAAAAAACATTTGAAATAAGCAAAAATGTGTACGTTGTTATGTTTCTCAACGAACGGGACAATTAAATGCCGGCGTTCGTGTATCGTGTTGTCTGAGTTCGAAGAGGAAATATATCGCAACTAATTTGTTCTCTTTCACCAAATTCGTAACTAATAAGCTTTCATCGAAGAGCGTTCTCGTCACAATTAGCGTTTCTCCATGACAAGTATAACGTGTGCACCTAATTTTTGCAACACCATTTATGAGGCCGCGACATTCAACTGATTAAGCTATATATATATATATATATATATAAGCAATAGTAATTTGAATTGGCAAACAGACCGACATGCTTTTCTAAGTAAATTTCTCGGTTCAGTGTCTATTAAAATCTACGTACTATGTAGCATGCTCGATGAGCATCTCCGCACGTTGCAAATGTTTAATAAGTCTACCATAGCCTGTGCATTAGACATACAAATAGAAAATTTTGAATTTTCTAATTTCCTTTTTCTTTATCTCATAAGAGTCAATGACGCATTGTAAGTGCATTACTGAGATTATTTTCTAAGCAGCGCTCTCTCTCTCTCTGTCTTCACTTAAATACAATACCAATGCAGAGGCCTTTATGTTATATTAACCATTATCTGAAACCACTCAACCAAAAAATAAAAAAAAATTTATAGACAAATGTTTTTTTTTTTTTCATTTGTAAAAAGCCGGTACGCATTTATTTTATCTATAAATACCGGAGATAACGATGCATCGAGTTTATTTTATCGCTTCCACTGAGGCTGCAAATTTGAGTGAAATTTTACTATTCCTTATCAGAGAACTTACTTTTTCTTCTCAAATACGCGTAGTATTTAAAGACTAGCGGCCAACAATGCATGCGATTATTCGAATTTTGTGATACTGTTTTGTTTAGCGTCAAATTTTTTATACCCATCACCGTGATCCTAAAAAAAGAAGAAGAAGTACATTTTCATACTCTATAACCTTGGTTGGGCGTGGCTGATTTTCTCTATTTTCTAAGTAAAAGTGGAAATTCATATCGTGAACGAGTCACAAACAAAAAACACGGAAAGCAAAGTTGTTCACAGTTTTTGTTATATAGAGACTACATGGAGAACATTACGTGGAGAACACATAGACGGACAGACACCCAAACGGATCAATTCTAGAATTTATGCTAATCAAAAATATACAAATTTTGTGTAGTCTCTGAAGCTTCGTTCTGGGTATTCTCAATGTGTTGATAAAAGGAATATACCCCTTATTCCTCGGTGGCGTGTATAGAAATAAACCCGCAAAAGCTGTCAATACGATTTTATTTTTATGTTGGATATTGGATCATAAAAAATTGCTATTCAATAATAATTCCATGCAAATTACTCTTTCGAGACTTTTGTCAAAATTCTTTTGAGGCACAATCAACTTCCTGGCACTTTTCTACTGTACTCTAAATCTACTCTTATTTCCCCAGTAACACCAGCAATCTTGGAAAATAAGGCCATTCCCCACTGAAGGTAACTGCAACGCCAATTTTCCATCTCAGCTCACAATCCACCCCTAGAGTTAACTTTTATCACCGTAACAAGTTTTTCTTATCTACGAAGGCATTTAATCAAATATCCTATATATGTGCGAGGCGTAGACCGAATGGATTCATTATTTTCGTAATAAGTTTTAACAATTTCTGTACGTTGTATGTTTGCATGGTGCTTAAGCAAGCAATACTGAGCACAAACATCAGTTTTGTGTAAAGTTTTAGAGAAAAAACCTCTTACTCGATCATCCAGTATAACATATGGGTAGAGGTCGTCCGGCATAATTTAACGTTGCCAGTTAGCCTAATGAGAACGCTGTCTGAAATATTCCATGAACCAACACTGTACCATGCATATTATATTCTTTGTAAACTTCTAGTTCGGTCTACTAGACTTTGCTTTAAGTCGTCTTGTACACTACAGTGATAAAAAAAGCAAATTGTTCTGCATTTATTTTTCCTAATAAATCTCATTGCCTTTACAGCATCCAAATAACATCTCCTATTAACAGTTCGACGTGGTGGCCGCGATGTTAACAGAAAAGTGTCAACATGATCTTGATTTTTGAGAGATATTCGCGCATTTTCACCTTTTGCATCATATTCGTTCCACTGGCGATTTTTTCCGGGTAATAAACACAGCCGCAAATCTTATTTCTTGAAATAATGCACCCAAACAGCTATTCACAGAATAATATTGTTATGCCCCTTTTCCAATGCTACGTGTTTATCCGCAAAGTTTCTAAAATTAGTTTAACGATAGTAATTATTATAGTAATTAAAGAATTATAACTTTTCGGAGAGCGGAGGTTTTTTCCAATTCGTTGACAATTTGATTATAAAGAAAAAAACATTTTATTGCTTGTTCTCAACTTTTTTGATCGAATACCGCGATTCAACTTTATTCGTCAACAAATAGTTGCACATAGAAATCACGGACATTAGGCTAATTTTTAGTGAGACTTAATTTATCAAAATATCTGATTTTCCTAACTATGTACGTACATTGTGTGATACATTATATACACTATATTGTTAGCTAGCCTAGCAAAGTGTTGTTTCATTGTCAAAGTTCAAGTTTGAATGTGAATATTCGCATTTTATAATAACCTGTTAATTTATTCAAATATGAGTCATAAATATGCATTATAGCGGCTTTAACACCAAAACTACCCAGCACATCAATTTGATACTTTTTCGGGTTGATGATAGGGGCGTGCATTGTTACAAAACTTTTTTTGATTTGTATCTATATGAAATACGCTTTGAATACCTATGATCACATTTTTTCTTCTCGGTTCAGTAGCAAGCTTTAATTTGGTGCAAAGACTCCTTGATTCATGAATAATCCAAGATTAAAAGCTTTGAAGGGCGTAATCTAGCCACATATATGCTCAGAATAGCTAAACGACTAAAGCAAGTTGAAAAAACTGAGAATTTTTTTTTATTTTCCTCTATAACTTACTGGTGGACTCTATAGAACTATTCCCAAACAGGTGGTACGCATATAATTTCCGGAAGCATTAGCATGATCAGTTCGAAAAATGTACTACTTCATAACCAGTCCTTATCAATCCACAAACATGTCTATATTTATGGGTTAAATAGTTGCGTTGGGAAATAGATCCGATTTAAGGTTTACTAAACAACCTTTAATATTAATACCTTTTGTACATCTTAATGTCGTAGGTGTAAAAAGGATTTTACACTGTTGAACGAAACTAATATTCACTTTTATGTTATTCCTACATTTATAAAATAAACGCTTTACGCTTGGGGCGCGTCCCAAATTTCATCAAAACATCTGAAGAGCTACGGAAAACGATACTGAACGTGATTCAGAAGGTAATTCTGAATGGAAAGTTATACTAGAAGATAAATCTATCGCAAGTTTTTCTGGGCGTAGCGTACATCCGCACAAACTATAATAAATCCTTGTCCCACAAGTGACGTAGGGCTTGAAAATATGGAAAACTTGTTGATTTTTTTCGGATTTTGCTTCAGTATTTCAACTGTTGTGGACGTGCACGCAGGAAAATTATACCCATATTAGGCCATGCGGCTCTCAATTGATCGAGGACTATTTATGCCAAATTTCAGTTGGTTGTGAGGAGATGAAAATGACTCGTTTTGACATTTCGTGGGCATCTCGAAAGCTAGAACAGGTAGAAAAAAATGATTATAGCTATTTACGGGTCTTTTCAAATAAAAATTTTCCGAAGAAAACTTTAAAACGTCACAATCCTTTAAAAGTGTTTTTTAGAACCTTGAAATCTGAAAAATATCAAAATGACGGTAGTCAGATAGTTCCGTATAGTACGTTTTATTGTTTGATAAGGCTTCGGATGAGCGTATTTCGTTTCTGGATGAAACTTCTCCGAAACTTCTCTTCCTAGCTTTCCTTATATTACAGTCGGTCAATCCGAATGAATATTCTTAGCCAGTTCCTTGATGTACCTGTACAACTTGCTCTAGCCTAAAGTCTTCATTTAAGAAGTGTTTCGGTTGCCCTCTTTAAGTTCTTCTTATTTGTTACTTGTTAATGGTTTTTGTATGCAATCAAATAACGACATAACAACTTCCTATGGTAAGCCGGTCAAAATCTGAATGATATGCTTTGACACCAGTTGGCTTTCTGCTTGAATAAACCAAGTTTCAGAGCAATTCGAACGGAATAGATGCAATTTGATAACAAGCAGCAAATAATTCAATGTTTATGTCGTTTCTTCCTACTTCTATATAGTTTGGCTATGCGTCGCTTGTGCGTACATGCTGTTTGTGTCTCCATTGTTTACAGTTATCAAATATCTATGAAATTTTGGGTTGGTGTAAGTGTTTTTGGTGGTGTGCGAAATATCTTCGCAGAGGAAGTTTAGCAAACGGTAATTATAAGGAGAGCATTAGCGTAACAACGACATAACGACGTAACGGTAATAATATTAATAATGAAAACAATGTTAAAATCCGCCACTGTTGTAACATACTGTTTGACAACATAATCAGATATGACAATTAACTGAAATGATGTAATAAATCATGGTTGATTGTGTTTCGAATATTCTGGTGATAACCAAAAAAATTAATTCCATTTTGATATCAGAAGAAATAAATTTTCCTCATAATACGTGGCTATGCAGACAAAGGAAAAATTTCTCTTTGTACTACGTAGGTATTTTTTGATGCACACACATAAGCATACGCATATGCACATACACACAAACACATTTATATATTCGTATATTTTCGAAGCATTTCTTCTTTTTATTCATTTCGATTCTTGATATCCATCTATTTGTACGTGGCCGGTGATTGATTTTTTGTTGTTTACCTTTGTTCTTTACCTTTTGTTCTGGTAGACAGCATATCTAGTGGTTGGCTCTTTATTGCAATTCGGATAAATTTATAATCTTTTTGAATCAAATTTATTTAGTTCAAATGTTCAATTTCTTCTTGGAACACAACATTTCATTGAATTGCACTTGTTCATATATTGAAAAAAAAAAAATAAAATAAAATTAACAGAACGTGACGGATGATGACACGCGTTCAAAGGTATCTATAACATCTACAGTCAATAAATTAATAAAAAATTCGAGTGCCAAACAATAACGTCAGCTAACACTTGATCTTATTAAAGCTCAGACAATTTTTTCGCGTTCACGTTTAACCAGAATGTCTAAAGTGAAGAAGAACAACTATTTTGATAAGTTAATAAAAATAAAAGTCGATTAAAAACAATCTTGAAACCGTACAGCATGCATTCACAAAAGCCCTTGCCACTCGTGACCTAAAGCTGGATGTAATATTTTCGGGAGGGGAGCCACACCTTGATTGCAAGCCACTTACTAATCATTCTTTCCGTTTTGAGCGGCCTGTAATGGTCAGTAGATGATCATATGCTTTAAAGTTTTTAGCTTAGCAATTCAGAATACAATTTACTTACCTTCAGCGATTTTCACTCCACTATTTAGTTTTCTTTAGAACCTGCCGGCACACTTAATGGGAAAACTAACTAAAAACAGATGTGAAAAACTTAAGCCTTTCATTACACGTAGTGGACATATATTGTTTTTGAAGCACAATGTTTCTGCCTATTCAAGTTTGCGCCCTAATTATACGCATACCTATGAAATTAATTCGTGAATTCATTGCAAAAACAAAAAAAAAAATTTTAATATTAAGAATGGGACATACCTTGACGCTTACAGCACTGCAGAATACTTTTCACAAATTTCGAACGAGTGTTCAGTCAGATCAGTCTTGGTATTAAGCAAAGTCTGAAAAATGATTTCTGTTTCAATTGCCAGCAGAGAAACGGTAACCAGCTCCTAATAATGCTTAGCTCACGTAAACTACATCTGCATCGAACTTTGAGAGACGATGTTGCACTACAGACATCAATAGTGAGAAAACTTTTTTTTGCTCTGTAATTGTTGTAAAGAAAACATAATAAAAAATCGCGGCACGTGATGCCTTCAGCTTATTGCTTTGATAAAAAAACTTTAAGAGAAAAAATATTCACTTCATTTGCTTGTTTTTTCTCTTTTTATAGAAATCTTTTTTAATATTCTCTTTTATGTAAAGAGCAGTCGAAGCCAACATCATAGGAGAACTCTTCCGGCAAAAACCAATCAATCATTAATTTATTTTTCGAGATGAATAACATTTTTAGTTTATAGTGACAAAGCAATTTCTGAGGCAGTGCAAAATATTACATTAACTGACTTTGATGCTTAAAGAAAACCTTGAGTACGCTCCCTATTAAGTAGATATACAAAGATCATCAGTGTGCTAATTGTCCATATTCGAAATGGATCTTAGAAGTGCTTGCTTTAATATGTACTCGATATCTCAATTTTAAATTATTGAGCTTGGAGTTTCGTCCTTCGTTTTAATTTTCTTCAACCTTATAACAATTGCTTCCGCATACGTTAGGAATCTACGTCCCTTTGCATGATGTAAGTCTAAGCCATAAACGTGTGCTCCATTTATTAGCTTTCTATTCGAGAATTCTTGCACAGAAAAAATTATACATTTAGATAAGAGTCGCGACTACGCAGTCGGCGTTCGCGGATCCAACCTTCAGTGCGGTAGACCTTGTTCGATAGGCTAGCTATAGTGAATGCTCAGTCGATAAAGGCGAGTTGAGCACACATCTCATAGAATGCGGCCACTCCCCATCTCCTGCTCTTCCCTCACATCTTTCTGACCAATGTGTGTTATACACACTTGCGGACAGACAGTCACGATTAGCTTGCTTAGCATCTTGTACTATTGAAAATACTTCAAGCGATTGATTCTTTTTCACTTACAGAGAGAATGATGGAAAGATTAATGTTTGCCCTCCTTTGATGTGCATAAAGAGTAAATGTAATTAATTTTTTTTTACTAAAAATGTTTATTGCAAAGTACTATGCGACAATCAGAAATACAACCGTTTCCGGTTATTTCAATATATTTCAAATTAATTTTGCACAATGGAAAGATAACGTTAGTTTAAAATCATATATTGAACACGAAAATAAATTAAAAGAAGTCGGGCAATGCCCAATATTGAATACTCTACGTTACTTTGGCTAATGTAATTCTTTAGTAAACTTTGTCATAGAATAAAAAACCATAAAAATGAAGAGATAACTTGTGGCCATAGAAAGGTTTGAAAAACAGACCAGTGCAGTCTACATTTGTTTTAATAAAACTTTATTTTAACATTTGCAAGGGAGAGGGTCCAAAAAAGACTCAAATGTTTTACTTAATATACCAAAATATCGTCTTGGAACGACTTCTTCAACATAGGTCCTTATATGAGGAATATGCATAAAAATAGTCTGAAAGGATCCATTTTCGATTTTATAAAAATATTTTGAAAACTTCAATTTGGAGATCGCGTATAAGAATAAAAGAGCAATGATCAGGCAGACAGACGTGGTTAAATCGATTCAGAGAAAAATTCGAAATCGCTTGTTATGATAAAAAGTGCATTTGTTTCAAATCCATCTAGATGTTCCGCACATTTGCATAAGCTTAATACACCCTCATCACAAGAAGTTTAAGGGAAAATGTGTTAAAACAGAAATGGTTTTTAAATGCTTTATATTAAAATCTTTTTACTATTACCAAAAAAAAAAAAAAAAAAAAAACCTATTCCTTAAGGCTTAAGAGAGAACAGAGCACCGGTCCAAAAATATTTTATCACCTTTCCTCAGCAACACTTCGTTCTACAATCTTACGTTCCCGCTCGACAACACTGTCTGCATTCTCATCTGTTTACCACCTGTAGGTTATTATTATCATCTCAATGATTAAATTAGAATACGTTGGTATGTCTTAAGCTGTTGCAAACGATCAATTCATATATCCATATATGCACATTTTGATGCTCAATGAGTTGGTTTTCTAATAGTTTTTTTAACATCGTTTTTCTAACGATTGAAAGTTTGTACACAAACAAAACAAATATCATGATTTATCAAAGAAACCCGAAAAGCTGTATGAACTTTCTAAGACGAACCATGGATACCCTACCTAGCCACGATTTGCAGCCACAATACACTACTGTTGATAAATGTAAAATGTATTTATTTTAATTTGTACAATTTTTAGGGTTTTCGCTCATTTTTCTATCGATTGTTCTTGAACAAGTTTAACGCTTCTCCAAATTGATTTTTCGAAAATTGCATTATGGAACGCATTGTGCGCCAAACGCTTGAAGAATTTCTCATAAATAAACAGAAAGAAAGTTGGTATAATAAATAACTTCAACATCAAACAAAGCTCTTTAGCTTATTTGAGAACCTTTTTCAATCCTTCAGAAATCACAATAATAAACCAATAGCAGTAGTTCAAAATTTAAATGATATATGTGTACTGAAAGAGATGTACACAAATCGGAAAATTTTATACATATATGATTATAAACTTGAAAGCATAAATCAGTTCGACCCGTTTGTTTGTGGTCAAAAATGAGTGAACAGATCAACGAAAGCCACTTCTTCCCACATCTCAGGCAATTTTCAAATTCCATCTCCTCGTTTCTTAAAGCCATCCCAGCCCATTTTCGGATACCGGCTTAAGAATCGAACCAACGTTCGAGTAAACAATAAGTCATCCATTAATAAATATCTATTAGCAAATGCTCCGATTTGTACACAACTCTTTCAATATTGTCTCCATTTGTCTCATTTATGAAGGTTATGATTGCTCAAGACATCAGCTAAACAATCAACTAAGACTTTTTAGTCGTGTGAAAAAAAAAAACAGGTGGGAGGGTAATTTTCGGTTCAATGTCCAAAAGGCAGCTTCCACAGAGACACAACACATTTTGGCGATGCTATTCATGCGAATCCCACGTGAACTAGTTCCTGTAGGAAGAACTTGAACACTTTTATTAGCTTAGTAGCTTTTTCTTGTGGATAGTGATTTAGTTTCCCGTCCTGTTTAACCTTGTCAAAACTGAAATGTATTTGTTGTACAAGTGCAGTAAATGAATTCATTTTTGAGCACGCGCATCATTGTAGCAAAGAAGAAAGACTTGTCGTCCATCACTTTCGAAATAAGGCACAAACGTAAAAATTCGTTGCCGCATCACTAGGTCAAGATAACAGTATCAGATTTCAGTGATATTGAAAGATGTCCTGTTTCACTTTTTCTTTGAATTTCATTTATAGATGGGGAAAGTGAGTATTCACTGTAGGATACTCTCGTTCAAACGAAACGATCAAATTAGTTTACTTTTATTTTCATTTTGTGAATTTATCACACACAGAGAACTTAATAATAAAATGTTTACATACATATAAATGCACGTATGTGTACAGTGTGTGTAGTCGCGTGGCATTAGAATATTTTTCTGTGTTTAGTTCACAGTCGCAGTCACAGTAACAGTAACAAGCTAAGCTCTTGAATTGAAGCTTGCATTACATGTCGCACTCAGTCGTACGAAGCAGTGTTCAAGTGGATTTCTTCAGGAACGATTCAAAGTTGAAAAGAGGTGAAAAAGTACGTCTCCGATAGTTTTAAATATAAATAAAAATATATAATAAAAAGGGACTAAAAATAATTATAAATATATAGTACATGATGTACGTAGGAAATGTATTGAAAAAAAATTATTTACTTATCGTCGAGAAACGTCTCATAAAAGGGCTAATATTTTTTTCGTCAATAATAAAAGATTGTTGTTGTTGGTGTTGTTTACATTTACATGTGAATACGAGGCATTTAATCAAAAATAATAACTAATTGTCTGTGATAAACGAAATTGCAAAAAAAGTTTATGTGCTGAAATATTAACAACAACAAAAACAAAATTATAAGAGGAAACAATTGTATGAGTTGCACTTAACTGAAGTGAAATTTTGAGATCTATATTCAAAATAGTAACAGATGAATACATTTCACTCGCGTGTTTTCAGATTGAAAAAGCAAAACGTGCCTTGTCAGTAGCATATAAGAAAAGTCAACAAAATAAATTTGCCTTTATTTACATTGCGTGCATTAATCAACAAGTAATAAAATCATATTTTTCTCGTGTGAATTTTTTGATATTTAGCGGACGGAGTAAGGAACAAGATAAAAAACCAAATTTCTTGCTGTGCTTTAACCCTAGAAGTACCGACGTTTTGTTTATACATATTAGAGAAACGCTCTGATCCCCCTATGGAAGCGTCACAGTCCTTAAAATGGAGGCAATTTGACTCAAGCAATCCATGGTTAAAAAATGCTTAGGATCTCCTTGCGCGCCCACATTAGCTTAGCAACTAAGACCATCTCCAGAGAACACCTATCATTTTGTCACAAATTCACCTGTCACGGTGAGAAATTTCCACGCAGATGTTCGCCAGAGCCACCTGAATGTTCGATCTTCTTTTGATATATTATGAGTACTTTAAAAACTAGGCCGAATAAAAACAAAGTAAAAAAAATTATATTCGGTTGTGACCGAACCTTTATGCCCATCTTTGAGATCCTAAAAATAGGGGAACAATTTTCGTACTCCATAATATTGGGTGGGTTCGGCTGATTTTTTTTATTTTTAGAATAAAAGTGGAAATTTATATTTGTGTACAGTGCATGTGCTGTACTTTATGAGAAGCAAGCAAAAAACACTTTGTGTTCACAGTTTTTGTTACATGGATATGTAGGCGTTGTAGGCGTGTTCTTTGAAAATTTTGGCTCATTTTCATCCATTTTTCTTCAAGTTTGTAGGCGATTTCTTCATTTTTGCGAACGGGCGAATGTTTACCACAGATACTACACATTTACGTAGGCGGACACAATATGAGGCACGCACATTGTTGGAGATCAAAAATGAAAAAGGGACCAAAATAACATACGCGATAGTTCTAGTATTTAAAATATTGCAAACAATATTATCAGGAACAGTCTCCAGCCAGTGTTCCTAGGCATTTAAGACGGAATGATGACATAAAAGATAAGATATAAGCGAATAATGTATAAAAATATATGCAGCAACGCCATGCGCTTAATAAAGACCAGTTATTAATCTTTCCTTTACACATCTTCTTTTTTTGACGAATGCTGACTATTTAAAGTATTAGGTCATTTTATGTGCAAAAGTATTGCATGAAAGTGTTTTAATTAAAAAAGTCGCTGATGAAAAGTTAATTGCACTCAAATGCATTTCTGTAGTGGTGAAGTATAAATGCTTTTACGTTTATTTACTGAATCTTCCTGTTAATCGAATTTACGATAAATATTAGAATCTTATCTCAAATTTAAACTTAACGATGACTGCCAGTGCAGATCAGTTGAGTTCAACTTTTAATTTATGAAGACAATACTGACTATGCTCTTTAAACGATCATGCTTCCCTATTAAGGGAAGAAAGCGAGCAATGTGCTCGCTCGGACTCGGATGACTTAAGATTTTAGTGGCGTACGTCGTGACGCTTACCTTAATTATATTTGTGAGGACCGGGATAACTAAAAAATGATTTAGGCTTGAAATAGTCTGAAAAACCGTTTAGAGGGATAGACCAAGGATATATAGTAACTTGAACATTCAACAATAACGAATTTACGACAATTTACACGACAATTAGTATTTGAAAGTTGACCGTTTGAAGCTGATGTGATTTTTTCTTGTATTTTTTTTTCTTGAATGCTCTCCAGCTGTTGCTACGCAATATATTATAAAAATAGTCTGTGCAACATTTTCTGCTGCAAACAAAATTTTCTACTCCCACTCGCTGAGAATTCTAGGTTACAAACACCAGGCTATGAAAGGAAATTATCAAAGAAGTATAACTACAAAGTCTGTGGTCTTGGGTTCAAATCTCAATGAGGTAGGGTTCACTTTGGTCGCGGTTATAGTGAGTGCTCAGTCGTTAAAGGTGTACCCTTACCCGTAATACATCAGTGGAGAACATCGCCTGAGTGATTCGCCATAAAATTAAAAAAAAAAGAAGGTGAACCTAGTCTTGATGCTCAATAACTGCTAATTGCTTTACCTCTAGCAGCTAAATAGTTAACGCGGAAAATCGACCCAGCTTCCTGGCAAACATTTTTAGCGTAACAAGCGATTAATTCTGAAAGTGTTCAATTTCGTTCATTATTGCTGAAAAGATATTAGCCAAGACGAGAGAAGATGAACGGTCTTTCCTTTCCTTTCTGTTGCCTTTAAATTACCATTTCGGAAAAGGAGGAGCATTGAAAGCCTAAGAGAAAAAGTGCTTAAGGAAATTCCAAGATCATGTCCCCAACCAAGCTAGCAAAGACATTAATGGATGATTGGGTCAAGCGCCGGCATCATTGCACTATAAACGATGAATTCTTTTGATGGGCACAAGATAAATATTGCCACAACAAACCTTACGGGGTTTCCACTTTTCTGATCACTTCGTACAAAATATGTTTCAACGAAAAATTTTGAGTTCATTACGTTGCGACTTATACCTTCATTCATTCATTCAAATTCACGTGTTACGATGCTTACAGCTACTTAACCGTATCTCCACTATTAACCTCAATATCAAAATTTGATTTGATGACTTAACACCCAAGCTACGACCGAAAACGTTCCATAGAGAATAAGGTTCAATAGTTTATCGGATTATTGTAATCATTAAGCGTTTCAGTAAAACAATTTTAATGAACTACTTTGCGGATTTTTGTTTTGCATTAGAAGAAATTCTGCGTATTTTCCATAAAACGAATTATCAGAAAAACTATTATTAAGGTTCAGCTTTCTTAAATCATAAATAAATTTGCGCTTAATCGGCTTATCTATAAACAATTATTTTGTATAAATTGCTTCACATATGAAATATTTCAAGATATCGGCCTTTGGGTTTTTCTTTACATCTATCTATCTATCTATCGCTGCCACATTTTATGTTGCGTTCTACACAATAAGTTTATTATTATATAACTTGAATAAATTAATTTGTGGTTTAAAGAACATGTAATAAGAATTTATTAATTATTAGAAACTATTTAACAGATAAAAGCATTAGCTAATCTTTCCTTGGTGGTTTCATGTTTCTCCGAATTAAGTTTTGGAATGTCAGCAAACATTCCGCATCTTGGTCTTATAATCAATTCTTTTTAGCTGAGCTTATTTCATGCGCAAAGAAAAATGAAAGCAACTAACACAAGTTTTTTTCCTGTCGAAGGATCGATGATGAGAAGAAATTGGCTTCAGGGACCGCACATAGTATCTATACATTTGATCGGCACCAAACTGTCAATCGATTTCAACACGTCGGTCTTTCCGTCCGCCCATCTGCCCAAGACGGGTTATAAAAATTCTACTGGCCATAAAAATTACGCCATCGACTTCAAGTCTGACAGATATATTGGAAGCAGGTTGGCATTGAAAAGGTGCTAAACTGCTTGAAGGATATGCCTCTGGTTTCCAAAGGAGAAAAAATCGGTTTTTTTTTTTCATCACTCACAAAACTGCGGCAGATGAAATTATAAAAATTTGCACGACGCTGTAGTATGTTTATGTAGTACGTAGTACTTTACTCTGGCAAAACCGCTATAACGCCCAGAAGCAAGCTCCAAAAACCGCACGGACGCCGCTACATACTCGCATTGCACAAAATCAACCTAGGTTATTAACTTTTTTCACATAAGCACGGTTGTTGAAAGCATGTTCCCGTACACGAGTTGCATGCCCTATTACTAATTTTAACAACAATCTATGTTTCTGTTTTAGGCCACCAATGTTTTCCAACATTGCATTGTTGTTAACATACATCTGACATTACACGTATATACCAGCGTGCGCCTATACATATGTATATATCTACACTATATAACCGACGCTAAAATAAAGTAACCATGTTTCCTCTATACTAAGTTATCACTTCTCTGAAGGGCGTCTTAGGAACATAAGATAATTTTCAAGATTTCAACATTAATTGTTCAATATCTCTACCTCTTCTAATTACTTAATTAAAACCTTATATATTAACTAAATGCACGTTGTATAATTAAACCGCTAATCGAAAATATTTCCACAATAAATTTAACGCATTCGCGTTTCATGGCTATCAAAGTGCATGTCTGACCAACACACAGCCAAACAAAATAGATAACATGCAAAGCTAACAGCCATCATAACGTTATCATCAATTTTACATTGGTAGGCGGGAAATTTTGGTCGACTTTGCTACAAAAATTGCTACAGAAAACAAAAACACTTGCCGTACATTCTTCAGAAGGGCAATAGACGAGCATCTCCTTGCAAGTTGGGGCTTAATACGTAAGAATTGAAACGACCTCAACAATTCATCTTTTTACGAACCTATTCACCTACGAGAGATCAGAACTAGTATTAGTAATTTTTTTTCAAAATTGAAAAATTATGCTTCACTTTTTTACTAGTATTGTAATTAAATAGAAAATTTATCGGATAGCAGGAGATGTAAGTCTTTCAGGCCAAACTCAGTCGTTCACGTATTCTTATATTTGAACGTAATGCGAACTATTTTATTAAACATATTGATCGTTTTCTCTTTTCACAGTTAATTTGTCTTCAACTCAACTAAATACATAATAAAGCGTGAAATTACTTTGAAAATTGTACCTTGAAGCATAGTGGAGATCAAAAGGTTATAATTTACTTGAAAGCGGTTAGCAGCAATTAAACATTGCAATCAGATAAAAGGCAGCCAGATAGATCATTAAGGAAACTAAAAATAAAAACGAAACAATTAGGCAAAAATATTAAGCCGTCATAATGGAAACGCGAGATATTAGCTGCGGTTATTCATACGACAGTTGCAATTCACAAAGCGGTAGCTCGCTGGCTTACAGTAACGATGTTATCGCCGGTGGCAGCACTTTGGTGGAACAATCAGATAACTTGAATAATTCGAGTAATATTTTGAAGTCTTTGCTTAACTGGCCGCCAGTTAATTTAGAATTTCACAATTTAACATATGAAGTACCAGATGTCGATAAAGGTAATTATAAAAAAAACAAAAAAAAAAAAATTGATTATTTTCTAATTAATTACTCAGTGAATTGCTAACAGACTGCAATTTTCAGTTGCTTAGGAAATAATGAAATCATTTCAAACTGTTAATAACTGTTCATTAATTACCGCATTAGAAAGTGAAAGAATTCATGTATTAGTAATCAAGATTTTTCATCTATTAATTTATTATTAGAAAAGAAAAGGATCTTACACAGTGTTAGTGGAGAATTTAGACCGGGCGAATTAACCGCAATTATGGGTCCTTCGGGTGCCGGTAAAACAACACTGCTCAATATTTTAGCTAGCTTTGGGTAAGTTCTCGAAAAACTATACTTTTTACATTCTTTAGTTTACATGCAACGCTATAAAGAATCCATGTTCTTCCTAAACGTTTAGAGCAAAACAATTGTCGGGCGAAATACGGATCAATGAAAATCTTCGCGATGTGAAAACGTTTCGCAAAATGTCCCGTTATATTATGCAAAACGATACAATTGATCCTCATTTTACGGTATTAGAGTCCATGATGCTTGCGGCCGGTCTTAAATTGGGTACAACTTTACCGCAACAACAAAGAATGCAAATTATTAATGAAATTTTAACAATGCTTCGTTTGCAAAAGGCTGCCAATACAAAAGGTCTCCGATTATCAGGCGGAGAACGTAAACGCCTCTGTATTGCCATGGAATTGGTTAACAATCCCCCCATTATATTTCTCGATGAACCGACTACGTACGTATGCCGACAAATAAGACGGTTTTAAAACATTCAATTTCAATTTGATTTTGTATATAGAGGTTTAGACGATATTTCCAGTTCACAGTGTGTAACATTATTGCGGCGTATAGCTCATGCCGGTCGCACTGTTATCTGTTCCATACATACTCCTCCAGCGAAATTATTTGAAATGTTCGATAAGGTGTATATAATGGCGGAAGGTGAATGTATTTATCAAGGCTCGGTACCCAACATTGTTCCATATCTAGCGCATATTGGACTGACGTGCCCCTTAACTTATAATCCCGCTGATTTCAGTAAGTAAAATAAGAATAACATTGTCAACCATTAAATGCTCGCCACAACTTTACTTGTCCCACTCGTATCCATGGGAAGCGGTCTAAAAAGTGGTCCGATTCAAACCATTTTCAATAGCTCTCGTCCTAGGGCCAAGAAACGATAGGTGTACTAAATTTCATCAAAATATCTCAAAAATTTGGAATTGGAATGAGCCTAGGAATAGAAAACGTACGACAACACAAGAATACAGAACGGATGGACCGCCTTCCTCCAATATCCATTGGACACACAAGTAAGGGCGCATACAACCAATAACTAGGTACAGAAGCTTTTGAAAAGGGTTTTTCATATCAACTTTTGATCGATGCATCAAGAGCATGTTAGGTGTTTAGCGCGCTTGTAAACGCATCACGCATCACGTCCGTTTCCAGTACCGATTGTGGTGCACCTCATTCCTATTGCTAGCTTAATTTTGACGATAATGTGAGGTATTGCAATAGTGCTTGACTGGATAGGCTTATATGTACCGCTAGACAAGGTAATACTGTCTATCTAATCTGTGTTATGACTATGAGTGTTGTCAAGTTCCTTTTCGTAAGAATCGAAAATTTCTGTAATTAACGGTAATAAACTGAATTTCGCTTTAACTTAAATCTACTAATTATATAGAATTAGTTTAATGTTGTTTAGTATTCGCAAATCACCTTTTTTCTCTTAATTAAAATGAAACCTTTTGTTAACTAAGTTAGATTGCCCGTGCATTATTAACACGTATTTGTTGAATTTACTATACTAATGACAGTAATTAAACTCGGCACTGTCTAGCTAATGCGCTAAAGTGCTACTGTATTAACGGATGACGAAGATGGCCGTTTATACAGCGGCTGAGAAACTATTAGCAGATTGTAAATATTTAAGCAATGAAATGCAATCAATCACGTCATGTGAATGTAAACAATAATTTAATTTGCATAGAACTTAAGGCAGACGTGCGTGTAATTTTATCATTTTAATATACAATTAGAAAGATCAGCATACGACCCCAAATCATTTTACAACCTTCGTCTGTCTGTCTTTTTCCGTGTCAGGCGGTTTTTGCTAGCCGCGATTTTTAAATTCATTATAGACAAATGGAGTTGACAGCCTTAAATGCTAGCACTTTAAAACTTTAGTTTCTCTGGCTAAATTAACCATAATAATAATAATAATTTAGTTACGTGTTTTTGAATCATCAAACACACTAGTTATTAATAGTAGATATATAAAATGATATAATAATTTTTTGAAATAACGCCTGATAAGGGAATTGATCGAAAAAGTGCGTCGATCCAAACCATTTTCAATAGCGTTCGTCCCCGGATTAAAACACGACGGTTTTCCAAGTTTCATGGAAATATGTCAACAGTTACGACCTGCAGGCTAAACACAGGAATATAGAATATGATGGATAGGAGTAAAGATGCGCAGGCGACCAGACAAGCTTAAATTCAAAAGTCAATCTGAATCGATTTGTATAACAAAAGGTGCACCTATCTGAAGCCTTTGTGGGCGTTGCTTTGCATATGCTTGTACTATCCGTCCTATCGAAGTTGCAAAATGTGGCGATGTCTGTTATTATATAGGCTGTGCTAAAGACGCAATGATACCGGTATTATGTAAAAAGAAGAGGAAGATGACGAGCAAGAAGAAGAAGAAGAATCTTAAATCATATAGGAAAACGAGTCAATATCAACAATGAAAATCAGAAATTCGTTAGTTTTTAAATCTAATATTCATTACTGTTATAAATAATAATAAGAGAAATTATTCTCACGTTTAAGTTCTCTTTAATTCTCTAACAATTGTTACTGAACTTGGCGACACGTGCTTAAGTGGTTAAGATATAATTCTCAATATTCAAATATAAAATCTTAAAACGAAATTGTGAAGAAATCATGTGGAAGTCGAATAGGCTGGTGATTAAGACATACGGCGCTTGGTCAGAAAACCCGTGTTTGACGGCCGCTGCGAACGACATGAAATTGTACATTACTGGTTTACTGGGATTGTTCATGTTTAAGCTCATAGTTTAAATGACATACGTACTAACTGGCATATTAAGCGATAATAACACCGTAAAAGCTTAATAAAAAAGGAGTCTTTTGCAAATTATTAAAAAAATAGCAATACCGACGGTATTCCTCGTGGGAAATCTTCAGTTAAAGGGGCTCTGCTGCGTAAGAACTCAATAGGAAAGAGAGTAAGTTGTAATTTCCCCGCATCTCATTCACACTATTTCTCCCGAAGGAAAAAATATTACTCTCTCTTTGTTTCCTCCTTTACCTGTTTCCTCCTAGCAATACACTCGCCTCACGCGCTTCGAAATTTCAAAGAAAAAATTTCTTCCAGGTATTTTACCTATTATATCAATAAGAGAACAAATTAATTGTTATGAAGATTGAACAAAGGTTTATCCCATTATGAAAAGCTTTGAAGTTAGTACACTCACACAAATTTTTTTATAAACTTCTAGAAAACCCAACATTTGAATGGATACCTGATATATATAGTACGTATTTTACGTTTGCCGTCACTTTGCTTCTAGCCACTGTATCTGCGAAAAATCTTAATTACGTTAGTTACTCTACGTAGTAATATCATTACTATTATGCCAAACTACTATAATTAATTACTATAGTTATCTTAATATGGTTTTTATCTACCTTTTATGTGAACTCATTTCTCCTGCTGATGTAGCAATAAATTATTTTCACTAAAAATACAAACTTATTACTCATGCGCTTCAAGATCTTAATTACCGGCTTCTTAATGAAAAACTTAATAACAAACCATCAATACGTCATGCCCAAACATTCTCATTGGCTTGAGTAGAAACCCTTTTATACTCTACCGACTCGCTAGAGATTTAGCAACAAGTGATAAAGTTGATCTAGTCAGAGTTATATAAAAAACAAGCAAGAATGCTTTAGCCGAGCATAACCGACCGTTGGACATAATATACCGCTTCGCTTAATTAATAATATACCAAAAATTATACATTATTTTAAACGTCAATATGGTCAAAATTTAACAAACTTAATATTTTCCATGTGTTTCCGTCATAGTAAACCACAAATTAAGCTTTGTCGCTTTCATGAGATCTCCTCCATATGGTGGGATCGAAAAAATAAATCGACGTTATTCAAATTATCTATGGACGATTTATTAAAGACAAATTTTTATCATAACATATTAAAAGTTAGTTAAACATTCTTGGTTCATAAAAACTTATTTTTCTATTGGTCACAAGAATTCATTGACAAATATCAGACACCAGGCTGGCAATTGGGCAGACAGACAGAAAAGCTTAGATCGATTTGGAAAGTGATTCTGAACCGATGCGTATAACAAAAGATGGGCTCTATCCCAAGTCCTTCTGCATATTACAACCTGCCGACCAAACTTAAACTGTAAAACAAGTTGTGTAGGGTTTAAAAAGCTTTATACCAATATCTACATGAACTTGCGAAAGCTATGAGTTAATAAATATTACCAAAAGCATGAACATCAAAAATGAAAGATATATATGTATGTGTGATGGTGAAAATGGCTGTCATACTAAATGGTTCTATATGTAAAGGCTGTCTAGTTCTTTGCTAATTTCAAGCAATAAACAATCAATAGGTTATTCACCTAACCTTCTTAATCTCCTTCTGGTTCATCTCACAACGCACTGTTGGAGCTTCAAGTAAAAATTTACTGATTAACATTCAGTTTTTCCGAAATTCCTTTTTTCATTGGCTTACATTCCGGATGGACTGAATTTTAGAAACCAGTTTTGAGTTTTTATACGGTTTTTTTAGTGCTCCGGGATTTTGTAGAGTGCCTCGTCGTAACAAAGAAATCAATAGTTTTCAATGTATTCGATATTTGAAGTACTTGTTCTAAATAACATTATCTTAAGACTTTTTAAAGTAAATATTAAAAGTAAGATTTATTATTATTAATGTAACCAGGGAATAAGTTCTAAGACCAAAGAGTTAAGGCACTGGCGACTAAGTTTAAAGCTTGAGATTTGAGCCCACGACCATTGAATTGCTAGGCGAGCTACTCGCCTATTCGGCCGCTTAGGCGAAAAGAGACTTAAAATTTTGCTTATTTCATTTCATAAAGTTATTGAAACAGCCTGCCATGAATATGGAGACTATCACAGTTCTATGGTTGATGCTGTAGAAAATGGTAAAATTTATCGTTGGCTGCCTAAAAGTGAATCAGATAATCTAAATTCAACAAGACGTAATAAATCGGAGACAACGTCGGGAGTTTCATCGTTTGATGAAATTGAAAAATTCGAAATGGAAATCGATAAAAAGCTGCTGCGACCACAATCTACTTGGTGGCAACAGTACAGATTGTTGTTGATGCGTATGTTGACTAGAATGTGGAGGGATAAGGTAAAATAATTTTGCATTACTTACATTAAGCAACAAGTATTATTTCTTAAATAATTTTTTTTTTTTTTTTTTTTTGGCAGTTTTATTTTAAAATGAAATTTTCAGTGAAATTCGTAATGTCTTTGTTGGTTGGTGCCATGTACACGGGTGTTGGAAACGACGCTACCAAAGCTTTATTCAATTTCGGTTTTGCATTTACTATAATTATAGCTTATCTGTATATGCCAATGATGCCCATACTCTTAGAATGTAAGTATTTATGATTTATGCTTCTTCTTAAATGTATTAAGAAATAAATTGTTTCTTCCTCTTTTTTTTTAAATTTATTTCAGTTCCTTCTGAAATCCGATTATTAAAAAGAGAATATTTCAATCAATGGTATCGTTTAAGTTCATACTTTGTAGCTTTGGTAACTTCCAAACTGCCGAGCATGTTAATAATGGCTCTAATGTATATAACCATAGTGTACTTAATGTCAAATCAACCATTAGAGTTATATCGCTTCGTGATGGTATATCTAGTGGCCATTTTAACGGGTCAAATATCCGAAAGCTTGGGCTTATTATTATCTTCGCGCCTAAATTTAGTGGTAAAATGATTCATAATTGGTTACATTTATTGGCCGTTCGTAATTTATTAAAATCTTTAATTTGCATAGAATTCAATGTTTATGGGCCCCGTGACGGCTGTACCATTAATTTTACTCTCCACGTTCGGCATGGGTTATGGTAAAGGTACTTACATTTCACCCTTTATGCGTTTCATCATGAATTGCAGCTACCTGCGTCATAGTATGGAGGGCATCATGGAAGCTTTGTATGGATACAACCGTTCAGATACTATTTGTCCGCCTACCGAAATCTTTTGCATGTTCAAGAGCGCAAAGTTTCTACGTGTGATTTTAGGCTTTGAAAATCTCAACTATACATTTTCGATTGTATGCTTGGGTATTTTCTACATTATTTTCACGGTATTAGCCTTTGCTTTAATAAAGCATCGCTTGTCCACGTCAGGAACTACTCATCCTTTTATTCAAAAAATTAATAAATATTTAATTAAGTATTTTAATTTTAGTACTTATAAATAAATCCATGCCTACATGTAGGGGTAAGCATTAAAAGCGCCAGCGCCTACCGTTCGATTTCAATAAATCAATAATTTTGCCGCGTAGTCAAGTTAAAATAAGTTACTCAACCAAATTTCGACTATATTTAACTCTTTAAATTTTCTCGATTCGTTGTTGAAATTTCGATTTTTCATATGATCCATGCGACGCCATAATGATCGGAAATTAACAAACGAAAGAAACAAACGAAAACGGGATGCTTGGATGAGAAGACGCTATGCCAACTAGTGTACAAATAGAATTATATTTTGTTTCGAATATTTATTTCAAGGCGAGTACAGCTTGCTTAATCGGTTTTATTAAATTTTTTTTATTTTTCATTAAATGTCTCTAAGTAGGTGAAGTTACGTGATATACTTTTAATTGCACTATAATTTTATATATAAGCGAATTTATATTGATAACTTTTAATAAATTACAAAAGTAAATGGAATTTTAATTTTTTCAATCATATCAAGCAAAATCAAAACAAATTCTACTTTCTACTCAATATTCAGTTTTTTTTTTTTTTTTTTTTTTTTTGTGCGATCAAGTACTCATGGGATGTCGCCTAAGTGAGGAAAAAGTAAGAAAAAGGGAAGCGGCCGCGGACTAGTGGGTATATGCCCAGTCGGTATATGCCAAGCGCTATGCTACTAAGCGCTCACTACAACTACGAGCAAAGTAAACGCTGGCGAATTGAGATTTGAGTCCGCGAATAAAGATTCGGTAGCAATAGAGATTCCCACCTACTCTGCTAGACGTACGGGCAACTTTCAGATACAGTGGAAGTTTGAATTCGTTCAATCAAATCAAGCAAAATAAAACTAAGTTTCACTTTCAAGTCAATAATTAAGTAAAGATGAATAAGGCTCCTCTTTTCCATTTCCTCACTAAGCGGACAGAGCATGTTAACCTTCGCGTTTCATTTCACACAAATCGCCATCAACACACTTTGTACACTTTCCTAGTCAACCTATTCGTTTATTCACACTTTTATATATCGTTCGCCCCTTTGCAATGTTCCCCAATCAAAGATTAATGAAGAACATAGATAGACAAGTAAATATGAAACCGAAAGCGATTAAAAATGTTTTATGCAAAGTGTTTTCCATCGCTAGATAAGCATTTTCCTCATCTTTTAGAGAATTCTTCGATGTGACGTCTTTAAACAGGTAATCGAAAGATCCCGAGTCTGCTGACTAAGCCGTCCTTGCACTATGGATGGATGCCCGGATGATATATAAAAAATGCCCTTGTGTTGCTTTTTTTTAATAGTCTGTCATTTTTCAAACAGGAAAGCTTTCAAATCCGTTCATTGTTGTTGCTACCGTTTGGTATTAAACGTTCACCGGCCTTTAGCAGTTAATGACGAAACACACCAATCTGATTTCTTGAAATATCCTCAGCCACGCAGTCAATTGTATGACTGGGAGCCTGATGCCCCCGTTTTTGCAAAAAAGGCTTTCTCTTATATGGTTCGAGCAAAGGAAGAATGCCTCCCTTCCCTGAATGCAAATTTTTTGTCATAAAACTCATGTTAAAAGCTATTTCAAACTAAAGTGTTGTATGAAACTTACATGGGGGCGAGTTGAAGGCTTTTGTCAGATATCAACAAGAATATAGCGGCTAGAACCATCCATGAGAAATTTCCGGTTTAAGATTTACATACCTGATAATGACGCTTGAGATTTAGAGATTAGAAGAGTGCGATGCTTCTATGTGTAAAGAAAAAGCTGAAAACAAAGACTTGGTACCACAATTCTCAAAAAGTAAGTACTTGTTCTCATTCCAATAGTTATCAGTTCCATTAACGAACCATTCAACAAAAATCCCAACTACTAAGAAAAACAGCAAAGTGGTTACAATATATAGTTAAGAAGACGACTATTGAATTCGTGACTTCTTATCTTTAACAACAAACTTTTTATTTTTATATAGTATTCAAGAATTACTAACAATATCGAGTGAAAATATTCCATCTCCTTAACTTATTTCACGATTATGAAGATTTTTAGAAAATAATCAGTATTTTTCATTATCTCATTGCGGTTAATTATTAAAGAGAACTATATGACTTCAAGTTCAAGGTTATCAGTGAAAAAACAATGACAATGACAGTAATACAATATGTACGTGCATATTTTATATATTTATTATTATTATACTACATAACATAATAAAACTAAAACAAAATTCAATTCTGACCAAAAGCCAATAAGGCTTTTCCATTTAGATCGCGCGGTCCTATACAAAGAAGTGTGTCTTTTTGATTCGATTCGCTGACGGTAATCGATATGGATCGTAAATTTCATCTTCACTTTTCAATGGGTTGCGCTTGGTTACCCGTTTTTTAAAAAAACTCATTTCTCGGGTCCCTTCTAGCTGTTCAATCGGTATCGTTTAAGTTTCAGGTTCATAAGTTGTTTGCGGAAGGCGGCGAATAGAGAAGGCGATCCAGACATTCCGAACATGGTTATTGAGACGTGTTACTATCGTTTTGAGTGAAGTCGATTATTAATATGAGAGCAACAATTCGATGCGAAATAAGAAATAAGAAAACTGAATTCGACAACGGCCGAATCCCTCATATCCACCACCTTTATTCTAAAAGAGGTTTAGAAAAACGAAAAAGCTAAATTTTTTTATCCGACATGGTAAATAGGGAAATTGTTATCATCGATAACAACATCGTTGTTATAGTTGATGAGCAATAAGCAAAAAACGTAGCCAGCAAAGGTATTTTCAGTTTATGTTGCATTGCAGGCGAGTGCTATGACGAGTTTGGAACATTATGCAATTCTTTTGCCAGGTTTTTGCGAACGGAGAATTTTTACCCTAAACACCATACGGCTAGGCAGAGGGACCGATGGGCGCGCTTAAATTGATTTGGAATTCGATTTTAATCGGGAACATGTATACTTTTTGGAATCTCTCAAGCCCTCTTCTGGGTGGTGCAAACGTTTTAACAACCTGACTTTGCCCCTTGAGAATAACGCAAAAACGAGCAGGAAGAGTGGAGTAAAGCATTCTTCATCATTCCAAGCTATTTGCCTCATACAGAAAAATTAGGAATTAAGATGCGCACGTAGATATAGAAACAAGTGCGAAAAACAAAAAAATATTAAATCTAAAATATTATTCATCCTGCCAATCCGTCTTGGATGCCGTATACATCCGCACAAACTTATGCCAAGAGTGGTGCAGGATATAAAAAAACTAAAATGAAATAACAAAAACCAAAATCAAAAAAATTCACCAAAATAAACAGTAACAAGTGGGGATGCTTGAAAAGTATGAGGTTGCGTTCTCATGACCTGCTTTTAAAATAATACAAGTAAAAGAAAGAAGACACTTACAGGTGTCCTTATCACTAATATGATGTGATAATGTAAATGTGTATAGATTGAAGATGGAAAGGGTATTGAACCTAGCACTCTACGTTCACGTTAACTTTTTCGATTGCTGATTATCTTTGAACTGCAAAATATCAAGATAGGCATAGAGGCATAACAAATTTTATTTTCATCGCTTTAACTAAATCAAAAGGATGTCAAGAGTAACGCTGGAATACGCATATAACGTTCATGCTGAGCAAATATTCTTTTCTTTCAATTACGATGAATGACACAATTCATTGGGTGAAATGTTGCGACTTACATGTTGAGACTAATGTGGAAAGGCTGTGCACAAAAGCCAAACGCTAACAATTTAACTTAAAAAACGGCATATTTTGTCAGCTGATAGTTTCAGAATTGTGTCTTAATTTCGATCATAATTGCCTTTTTAGATAAGAGTATCCTCCAAATAATTTGGACGTACGGCATACCATGGTGGGAAACAGCCAGCAGTTTAAATATTAAGCGCTACGAAAATATCGTTCTGAGGCTCTTTATTTAATTGTTCTTCTGCGCCAAGACCATCAATGATGACTATAAAATTCCGTATGTTAAAAGTCATATCTTTGAAGTTCCCTAGGGTAAAAATCAAAATATTATAAATCCGTTTCTTTAAAACACCTATACACACCGGGTAATCCAATAGGTCCTTTGAAAATATCTTTCCCAGATGAATCGAAAATTGAAAAAGCATCAACAATTGGATCTATCATTTAGAAATCAGATTATTTTTGCTTCTTAAGTTGGTTCAGCGAAACTTCTACCTGCTTATAATATCTATTTACTTACAAGTATGTCCAATAAGTCATTTCGTTTTTGTTTGCTCAAATGAAACACAATTTTCTTGTTAGTTTTTCTATATAGTATAAATGGTTTCTAGAACTCGGCGAAATTCGATAAATTCAATCTGTCAGTAGTGTCGGGAATTCTTACCCAATGGCTTGCAACAAGTAATGTTTTTATTTTGGGTTCGTAAGCTTCAAATCAAAATTGGAAGGAACTTTTGATGCTGGCTTTCTATCAATATATCTTCTCCTTATACAGACATCAAATAATATTTTTCTTGCTTGAACAGCCCTTTGCCCTTTTGACTTTTGACTTGAATATGCCTACTTTTCATACCCCGATAGGGCGGCGAACAAAAACTGCTGCACAGAATTAAACGAATTTTTCCACAAACAATGTCTGTTTGATAAGCTACCGAAGTATATGATGACAATACGGCTAAACTTTCAGTTTGACTGTGAAAAAATACCATTAAATTCTCTATTGGCAAAAGATAAGACAAAATGACTTTCCGAACAACCCAATATTGAAATATGCCTCTATCGTTTTATTTTGTTTCCATTTGAGAGCAATAGCCTCTGCATTTAGTGCACCTTGTCATAATATTTACTTATTATTATTATATTATTAATACTACTTATTAGTTAAAGAAATTTATTAATTAGAAATATCATTGAATATTATAAATATTTATTAAAACCTAATCGATCAGTTTTGATGTTTTTTCGCAGTGGAACTAGATGGAAAAGAAAAGATTAATCTGACTTAATTCGGCACTTGAACTAATAAAAAGAATAAAATTTAGGAAATATTACTTTTAAATAATTGAAAGAAGGTACATACCTCGAAATAGCCCACTCTCTCAATTAAAAACCTTCGAATTTATAATAATAAAATATTAATTTAACATTATCGACGCGATGTCGACATCTTTTGAAAATTTCTCTTCGTTGAGCAAAAGGGTTTTGTGTTAAGTCTTTAATAATTTACTGCATAATACAGGTGGAATTTGTCTTTTATTGTATCAAAATAATTATTCTATAATAACTGACTACCATTACTTACTCGCAATACGGTAGGACGAAGTGGTCGTTTCATTAAACACACATCGCCATTACCGAAAGGCATTTCTCCGCGCGTGCTTACATAAAATATTCCCCGTTTATGTACGGCCGGCTCGCCACCCATATACACTTGCGCTGGACATTCCTTTCGAGCCTTACCACAATTGCATTTTTGCATTAAAATACTATCGAAATTTTTACATTTAATTGATCCAAATGCTGTCGAATTTCGTATAGATTCAACGAAATAATAGAGAGCACCAAAATGATCGCAGGCAAAGTACGGTTCCATTTTGTTTACATTCGGACAATGTGGCTGACCCAAACCCCAATTAGGATAGAATGATGCGTGTCCTACGCCGGATGACGTAAAACCCAATAAGGCAATATCAGTTTGTATGGATTCAACGTAGATCGCATCGTTCGCTGTTAAACGCCATTTCTCATTAAGACGCATATGAATGACACCAGAGGTATCCAAAGCGTAAATGGCACCATACCTGTCGGGTTTTAGAAGTTTGCCAGCAACACCAGCTATATGACAGCCAGCGCTATGGCCAATTAAGTACATCTCCGCGTAGGATACGTCCGCTACTTCGTGAAGAAAACGAGTAAATTCGTTTAATTTGGTGGAAATTTCAAAAATTCCCACAACTACACGAATATAGTTGATATCGTGAGCGTAGTCACTCCAATCAACCAAAATCATATTAAAATCGCCCCGCTCAAGATATGCGTCCTTAATAGCGGCATTTGAACATGTAGTTGTTCGACCATTCCATCCGTGTATAGACAATCTACGAATTATTAGACAAAAATTTGATTTTATTTCGATCCCTCTCGCACAGCGTATGTACGACGTTTTATTTACCTTACTGGCCAAGAACTGTTAAAATGTGAACTGATTAAGGCTTTCTCATCTCCCGTGTTCAATATTTGCCTTTCATAAGGATTTCGCCTGGTGTATAAATCAAAACTTAGCTTTTTAGGTTGCAAACGTAACCTAGGCTCCAGTAAGCGATGGATTTCTTTTGTAACTAAACTGGCGACCATTTCGATGGTAAGGGGTTCACAAAAACCGACTTGATTTTTATAGATGAATTTCTCTTTTTGCATAAATTGCTCTTGAGCTAAAAAAAAATTATATTTGAAAAAAAATATCACATGCTTTCCCTCGTTCTTTTTTTGCCGAGTTTGTTAGTGAGTAATAGATGATCACTTAAGTAGAACCGCACAAATATATTTAAAAAAAAAAAACCTATTTGCTAACAGATATTTAACGTTGTCTTCTTAAAGACACTCAAACTCAAAGCAATCAAAGCTTGACATCACTATCTACAAAACTTTTTAACACATAATTACGCACACTCTCACGCACAAAGATATGGATTCATTTTTGACAATATTTACTTTTAAATACTAACCGAAAATATCTAATAATTCCGCCAGTACTGCTACAATCACTAGAATGCACAATCTCATGGCGATAACACGCGGCTTTGACTACTGTACACCCATACGTGTATGTATGGAGGACAAACAACTATACTCTCATATATCCTGCAAACAACTGAAAGTATTGACAATTTAGAACAGATATTTATAAAGAAATTGCAACCGTTAAGAATGAACATATATTTAAGAAATTTATTATTATATTCACGTACAGTGCTTGTCAAAAGTTTAGATTCATTCTAAATAGTTACGGGTATGAAGCCGGGACATGTTCTTCCAGATAAAGTAAAATAAAATAACTTATTTATCAAAATTTATTTTCTCACCTTTCGTGTAGGGACCATCACCCTCGACCAGTCCTGAATACATGTTCGTTCAGTTCCTTCAGGGAATTTTTATTCTTTCAATCTACTCAAAACGCTCTCTGCGAAGTAAATTTAGCTCGTCAGGACAAGTCAAACGGTTGTTCAATGTTCGTCTAAAAGCTCGCAACGCGAAAGAAATTGGGCGCCTTCACAACCACATGTATCACGACTAAAATGTATAAAGCGATTCTTAACGTTTTACTATATACGCCGGAGTTTCGTCATAGTGAAAACTCACCCGCCCAGCTTTCGTTCGTAGTTTTCCCTAGTTACGATTTCATTGAAACGAACCATAGCACGATCGACTCAGAGATCATTGCCCGCAAATGGGACTGCCATATTCAGTTTTGTTGACGATACTAATCGTTTGCCTGCCCTACATTATAGTTATTTGGGTTTCGAACAACATAATGCATGTACGGTTCATCACTCGTGACGGAAGGTCAATTGATGCTGGTTTCTATGATTGGAATTGTTCGCAACCTGCGAAATACAAAACGTTCATACAACTTACCGAAAAACACTAGAAACTTACTTACTTAGATTGCTTACGATAATAACGTGCGAGGAAGATCACGCATGAAGCTGCACACGCTTGGTATTTAAGGGATTAGATGCAAATCGTGCAGCCACCACATAGTCAGAACTATGCCGCGTACGAATGCCATTCGCTTCGCTCCATGTAGAAATGTTCTAAGGTTGATTTCAAAAGAAGACTGTGAAAATGATCGCGTTCAATATTTCGCCAGGGAACCCTAAAGGTCCTAAGGTAATAGCATAATGGATTTTTATAATCGAGAAAGGCCATCGGTCAAAACGTCACTCATTTAGTTTAATAAAATTTGTTTAAAATAAAACAAAAACATATCTGAAATTTTATGGAAGAAACGCCACGGTTGGAAGCAATTTTGAACGAACACGTTAATAACGGAATTAAATGTGGTAACAACAACGTGCATAAATTTTTAAATCAAAATTTTGCAATCATATCTGAAACAGTTCACAAGATTTTGGAAGGCATGTCAGCGCGACTTTTATTTAACTGCCTCAACTTTTGCGAAAGCAAGCAATCTAACGGCAGAAGAATGAATAGACATCGGTATAGAAATCGATCGTGCATCCAGTGCTGATCAGGAATATAGGCACTTTAGATGTGTCTATATGCGGAACAATGAAACTGTGTGTGTAGTGAACTTTTACACCATCAACACCGTGCTTCAATGATAGGCATGGAAAGATTCGAACCTCTTCCCGAACACTTTTATAACTCTTTTCGAGGTCAAGGATATACTAATTTGTTATCTGAAACTGCCTTACATATTTCAAAGTTGGAAGATACCTTACGATCATTACTTCGACATGAGCTGCACGCAGCCCTTTGGTAAATTAATTTTCAAGCTCAGTATGGGCTTATAATCATATGCTTTACAAAGACTGTAGATCGTAACTGAATATCACTTTTTAGTTAGATTTTAATATCTACTGGTTAGAAAAAAAGTTTGCACATATTCTTAATCAGCATAAATAGCTTTCATGATTTTCGTTCACACTGCTTTTAGTTAGAAATTCGAATACGTCCTTGACTCAATGAAGTCACTCAAGTCATTCTTCTTCCAAAAATTTTCGATTCACTTTTCAATTTTTACCGCGTGTGCAGAAAGATGACAGATTTACACGTAAATGAACTGTGATGGTCCGATACTTTTGGCCTGCAGTGTGAATGGGAATATATGCCGATTGATATTTTAAAACATAGCTTTTGTTTTGGTTGTTTGGTTGGAACAAAGACAGTGAATAGAGCGGAATATTTTATGTTAACAAAAGCAAAACATATTACACGTAATTATATTGGGAAGACACTGACCTATGTTTACCTGTTAACCGTTAATAAGGAATACATTGTTTTTGACTCATCGTCCCCGTTATTTTACATCTATATAAACGCTTACGCTGTTAATGTATGCACTCGTTCAAGTATGTATTCGTAAACGTGATGTGCGTATCAAGAACTTGCTTGATCATCGCAGCAGAAAGATTGTTTTCAATGATGTGGAGAAGTGAGTGGTTTTATTTTTGTTTTATTTTAAAATTTTTTGCCGATATTTTAAATTAAAATTGCGGTTATTTTCCTATTCGTTAATGGAAGAATTTCTGTTCTTATAAAATTAACCGGACCGAAAGGAATTTTAGACACTTTCCCTACATACAGCTTGTGTTCAAAGATAAAATTCAATTAAATATAAAATAAGGCAGAAATGATATTCGGCCTGGACGGGAGACTATCGCATTGAAATGAGAAGACCTTTAATTAGTTATCTCTATTAGGTCGCATGTAATAAAATACCATGTTATGTAATCGGGGTTTAAGCTATTATATGCCAATCATACAACAACACTTTGTCGCTTGTCGTCTCACGAGTGTGCTGTGTTGTCAGAAAGGGGCTTAGGAAATATCATTTATGCCAGACGATTGAAAAGTCTTAAAACGTAGCGGTGTGAACAAACAAACGCTTTACCTCAGCCCTTAATTGCTTTTTGGTAATTTTCCATTCAACCAATCTAGCTGATCCTTCAACTTAGTTTGTGTGCTTTTATAAGAAAATATCCAAAGCAAGCTAAACTCTTAACGTTATACACCCAAAAGAAATTTCATTTCGCTAATCGTTCTAATCGAGAATATACAATATTTCACCAAAATGTGATGCACGATCACTCGCTAAGGCGCATTGAAACTCTCTTATGTTATGAACTTAGCAATGTGCGGTGCCCGTCTCTTCTAAATTTCGCAAATCTTTTGTTTAAGTCTGTCAATTGTATATATGTATGTGCGATGATCATCTCTTCTAAATTTCACGAATCTCTTAGTTTACTTTATCAATTGTATGTGTTTACTGTGCGATCACAGCTTGGTATTATTGTTTTATGGCAATTAACGGTCAAGGACGTCTTCTTCTTATTGTTCTACTCAAAAAATGACGTCAATAAAAGTAAAGATCAAATTAAATTGAAAAAGCGGGATACATAATAACATTTGCACGAAATATCTTCCAAAAGATATTTAGATAGATTGATGTGTATGACAAATCACGATGAGAACGAAGTACAACACGAGTCACATGTTCGTGTAACATTGACAGGAAGTGGGAACGCACGTACTTTGCATGCATTTAACGTAACTGCATAAAATAATTATTTTAATAAGAGTATTTGATTTAATCGCGAAATCGCTACGAAATAAAGCTCAACTTCTACCGTCCAATGAGTCACTTCCTCTTGGGACTGGTACAAAATTTAGTTCATTTAAACAAAAGCTTATTTTCAGCCCTTATTCAGCAATTCGTATGTTTTAAACGTCTCATTTCTGTGAGCGCTTCATTACGACGAGGTTTCACAATTAGCTATGCACTGTATATTCCACTCCTTGAGTGCTTTTATTTGATACCTATATCGAAGGCATTCTTGGGAAAATGTAATCCACCACTTGGTGGCGTCTGCCATTATTGAATTAGAAGGCTACCAAGACAAACAATGAACTTAAATAAGATTTTCGCAATATAATGATCGTTGAACTACTCACCTTTTAATGAACCACAGAAGATACTAAACTTTATTAACAGAACTCCCTGCTTTTTTGGTTACAAGATGGAGTGAAAATCTATTAACAGCCTGTAAGATGTACGATATTTAGAAAATTTGACAGAATCATACCGTTAGTTTCCTTCTTTTCATTAGACCGTCTATCGGGAAATGGGAAAATTGGCTGCTTCTTGTTCCATTTGTAACCCACAGCGTCTCAGTACTTTATATGTTATGTTATTCGTCTTACGCGTCCTTAGCATCTTCTTCTTACTGTTTTTAAAAAAGAAGTAAAAGTCAGAAGCACGAAGGTCCCTTTCTGTAATGCAATTACGATATTGTCTAAATATTTCCTACGCTTCGCTCTGAGTGTGTTGCCAGTCATGTCAAGGGAGCTCGTATGTACTACCACCATATTCCACTATGTTATTAAAATATTTCAAACATTCTCGAAATTTTCTGTTTTCTACTGCTATCGTAGAATCAAAACAAAAAAATTCTATGTATTGCCTTTTAATCTAAATCTCGTTGAACACATTGGTTAGAATTTTGGGAAATATTTCCCGAAACATGAAATAATAGTGGAAAATAAATGCCATCTGCTGTTCAGTTTAAGTCGACTATTGTGTTTCGCACCCGCTAATAATTCCTGATGTTACAATGGATTCAATTACGGCCCATCACCTTACATAACTGTTGATGATTTTTTGCTATTTTGGATAATTATTTAATATTTTGAAAGTTTTTGAAAGTTAACGTAAACTTGAATGGATTATAATGGATTGTAAGCAATCGATCTGTACTGGTTTACTGATGCCCTGTTCAGGTGCTTATGTCGAAGGCCCTTCTATCCCAGCACACATATCCGGCAGTACAAAACAGAGGATAAACTAAATAAATAAACGTTTTAATCTTTTCCTCTCATTTGCGATGACAGACAACCTGCGCATAACAAGTGAAATGATATTGAAAAAGCTTCTTCTACAAGAAGCGGTCTTCAAAGTATTTCGACAAAGCTGGATCTTTTCCTATAGCGAATCGGTCGAAAAGTGAAACATGAATATATCAGAAGTCGCTGTTGTTTGTCTAAAACAAATATTAGATATGTGCACCGTTTTCATCCGATAACATTTTACATTTTTCTAAAATATAAAAAAAAAAAAAAATTAATATATCTCAAATACAAGTGAATTTAATCATCGCTTCCCACTACTTGTCAATTACGATCAAATCTGGTAATGATTAACTTTATATAAATGGGACAATTTTCATATTTGATTATTCTAATATTAATATTTCTTAAAAACAGTTAGGAGCGAAGGCAAAATGAAAGCAGTCGTGTTTTTTCAAGCGTGGATTGCTTTCATTTTAATAAGTACGTTAAGTGGAATGACCTATTGGCATTACGAAGTTAAGCGCAAATGTATATAAAATTATAAGAGAAATGTGTTTATGCTGAAGGATTTTATAGAAAACTTGGACAATGCAACTTGTGAGTGTAGAGTGGAATACGACTGATGATGAGATGGTTGAACTTGACTTAAAAGTCGAACAAATAAATCGTACAAGCTTTGCTTTTTCTGGCACCGTGGACGTCCGCTTTGAAATCAGTGAAAATACGATGGTAAAATTTCAAACTCATGTTTATAAACGTTGCATTATGTATATATATTTATATTTATTTATATATATATAAAATATAACATATAATGTAATTGACTTACAAGACCCAGAATTCTGGTTTGAACAACATGTTTCAAATATTTATTTATTGTATACGTTTTCCCGCGCTTCACAAAATAGATTCCTTTACAATTTTTAAAGAAAGTTGTTCCAAAACCAAAATAAAATGTCTTGTGAGTTTATATTATTCCGCGAAATGCTACTAAAACTAATGCTTGCAGGGTGAGTGTAAAATCTACTATAGCGCTTCCGGAAATTTAGACAGTTATAGAATGCTTCCATATGGTGGCTCAGGAAAAATTTTTGATATAATTGATTCGTATTATCATCAAGCTTGCAAAAGTTTCGCAAAGTGTTCAAACTTTCCGCTAATCAAAACTAAAGCACGCGACTACAAATATCGTCAATTGTATACTTTCGATAAATGCACGTTTTCCAATGATGCAGCACCGAATTATTTACCGGACGGATACTATAAGGTGGTTACGCAACTCACTGGTGAAACCTATTGGTCTATAGCAACTTTATTTGAAGTCGAGCCCATATTAAAGAAATAAGTAAATAAAATAATAATGAATTTGCAGTACTTTGCAAATATTCCAATCCCAACTTAATTATTTGTGTACGAAATTTATAAAATTTGTCCTTTTTATATAAGTAACATATTAGAAAAAATAAACAGAAAGTAGTTGATCGTCGTTGTGGTTTATGATTGATGGTAAAACTTCATTTCATTTTACTTAAATTTTTTCCACCTTTTAAAGTAATCATCTCATCTATTAGAAATGAGGCAAACAACAAGTTTGACTTCTAATGAAATAAATGATAGTTTTATCTGCAATCAGAATAAAAACATCATTTTTCAGAATTAATTTACACATTACTAATGGATGCGATTAGCAGACCCATTTCAAATACGGTCATCTTAATTCCTTTTACCTTTGCTTCAATCTCTGGTGTACTAGAAGGCGTGTAACGTTTCCAAGATCGGCATGTTTTAATCAATATTACTTCTTTATAGTGCTAGTGACATCATTGCATGACCATCCTCATTTTCGAAGAAATACGGTCCATTGATGCCTCCAGCTCAAAATCCGCACCAGACAGTGACACATTTGATGCATTTGATGCATTTGATGCATTTGATGCATTTTTGTTTGGGCAATCACATGTGGATCTTTGAACCAATTTGGACGATTAACGAAGTGATCAAAGTGGAAATGAACTTTGTCGCTTAGGATGATTTTGCTCGAAAAATCAACATTCACTTGTTGATGTTCAATCCATTCCATTGAACGACCTCTGTTCGCTATGCATGGCCATTCGGCAAACGGACACTGGTCTTCAATGAGCATACGCTGTAGACAGCTTCTTGAAATTTTCAATTCTTATCCTGGGATTCCACCAACGCTCTCACGCACTGCTTCGATATTAACATTTGAATCTCAGCATGACCAATTGATCTGGTCTCGCTGAATTTTTCAATTGCTTTCTTCACAGTGGACAAAGTTAAATCAGCATTTCAACCACATTTTATACGAAATTTGATAACTGTGGCCGCCAAACCTTCATTATTCTCGAAATGTTGTTCAACTCTCTCGTGTGATGTTCCTTTTTTACCAACTCAAAACTGTCAGATATCAAACAGTTTTTACTGTACAAACTGTTTTTACTGTGGCAAATTCAAACCTTGTGTTAATTTGGGAACACCCTACATTATCAGATGCGAGGAAATTCTAATGTCTTCCACAAAACTGATGATGTGAAGGATGGACATCGCTAAACTACAATTTTCTCATTTAGTCAATTGACGGTTCTCATCTAGCACTGATTTGAAAAAATTTCTGAAATTCAATTTGAAACGGACACCATTTGTTTCCTATTACCAAGTTTTTTCTCCTAATCATTTCAATTTGCACAAAGCATGATTTCATTATCGGTATTATTGGCACAGTTCGGCAAAGGTTAATTGACTTCAACGCAAAGCCTCTTAAAGCCTCTTAAGTGGAATAGATCTTTTTGGTGCATATATATAATCCTTTTTAGCTAATGCACCGATTTATTCATATAGTCATTTGGTTATGGAGCCAAGTGATTCTCATAAAAATTTCTTTAAGAATACTACGTTTATGAGCCTGACGTTTATAAATCGTTCCAATAACACATCCTTCTTCAAAATCTTCTCGTAGATCACATAATTTTTTTATCGGTGTTCTTTGTCCCACATACTTACTGGCTCATTTAACCAGTGCCCAGACATTTCAGCCAAACGATGGGCATGGATATGGGAAAATTGTTTATGATAATCGAATGATTTTAATAAAAAACTCGACGAATGATTTTCGTATTTCGGCGGCATTTGATACGATGTTTACAAAAAATAAGAATTATTAATAGTTGGCAGCATTGTGGTATTGCTGCCTTTGTTTTTGCGACTAGTTTCATCAATATGACATTGCAACTCTTCAGTTTTTCCCTTAATTCTCTCACGTTCTTCATTATTGTTTATTATATTATATATCCAGTTGCTACGATTTTTTTCCATCCCTTCGTCCAATTTAACAGACATCGTCATGACAATATGTGTTATTCGTCCCATTTGACCAATGAGAGGGATTTTTGGTTTACCATTTTTCGTATTTATTTATTTTTTTACTTATTGAAAGCAACTCTGTCCACTCACCACACATAGTACCTTTTTCATTGACAGAGTGACATCCCTGCATCTTTAAATAATCCTGCGTTAAGAATTGTTGATGAATTGTGCTGAGTGGCATGAGCTTTCATCTGTTTTTAATGCGAATTCGCTACACCTCCCATTGGTTTTTAAACAATTTCATCTGTTTTTGATTCGAATTCGCTATACCTCCCATTGATTTGTAAACAATTTCATCCGTTTTTGATTCGAATTCGCTATACCCCCCATTGATTTTCTTTGAAAGAGTGACATCCCTGCATCTTTAAATAATCCTGCGTTAACATTGTTGATGGATAAATTGTGCTGAGCGGCATGAGCTTTCATCTGTTTTTGATTCGAATTCGCTATGCCTTCCATTGATTTGTAAACAATATCAAGAAAGACATCAATTACATTATGGCTTTACGGGATGCAGATTAATATCTGCCAATTTGTTGAAGTTTACATTCGATATTTCTCAGGCCTTTGGTTTGTAAAACTAATCGATAAGTGTTATATTATTACTGACTGAGCGCTGACTATTCCTAAAGCCCAAAGACTTCTGCATCGCAATGAGATTTGAACCTGCGAACACTAACTCGGTCGCCGCGATTCTTATCTGTTTGACTACTTTTGCGCATAATTAATACTATTATCTGCTCTATGGTTAAGAAAGACTAAATGATTAGTATGGGTAGTCGTTTAAAATAATGTTAGCGTAGGTTATCGATATTATGTTGTTCAGAAACTTTTAAGATTTCCACAGGATTATTCGCTCCGAATATGGGCTTACGAGAATATTAGAAAGTTTTTAGTAATCACTAAGTAAATGTTTTGTCCATAATTGCAAATTAGAGAGAATAAGGATCAATTAGTCTGTTGTAATACTTAGAACAATGCGAATTCTTGAAAATGTTTTCATGTTGCCTTCCTCGACGTTGATTGGATATAGAAGTGGAACAAGATTACGATTGATATACGAGTAGCATTGTCAATTTTTTTCGCCAATTTTTCTTTCATTTTTTTTCTAATACATTTTTGCAGGTCCATTGTATCGTTTATAAGAAAAGGTACCGAAGCTGCCACTTCTGTTTACTCACTTCGCGAGAGGTCAATATGACTCGTCACCCACGAACTTTTAATTTTTTCTCCGTAAATAACAAAGGTACTTCTTATACTCATAATGTTGTTCCACTTGGAATGTAAGAAGTTACTGGTAGCTTTTTGACCGACTATCGACTAAGGTCTGTTTATATTTTCTTTAATATTTTTAATTGTTGTAATTGCTGAAGCGATTTCATGTATGATATCAACGGATTCACTCAAACACTTGTTAAGCAAAAATTGTGCCTCAAAAGCTTATTTGTAGATTTTGTTGTTGTTGACTGAGTAATTGAGCAATAATTCTTCCAAAGTAAACATCGGCTTATTATAATGTTTTCTTTTTTTATTTCGAATATAATTATGTATTACATCTGTCTATGTGTTTAGTTTAAAGTGTTTATGGTCTTGATCGCATAATTGTCTTTACTTTTATTTTAATATATTATTAAATATTTTGGCGCCCTTTGGAAACGCGTACAACTTTAATTACGGTTTGCTTAATGTATCTGATTTATTTAATTTAATTATATTTCTTTTGTATTGTTTTTGTTTCTTCATTTTTCTCATTCTTGATTTGGATGATTTGATTCATTTATAGTAATTACTTAAGAGGAAAGACTAAATACGCACAATAATTATTATTGGTTTCTTTTGTTTTTACTATTATTTTCTATTTATCCTTAAAATTTCTGTAGGAGAAAAATTAATATTACATTAATAGCACAATCGACTTATTTAGGACTTGTCTTCACCAATTTTTTAAACATTTATAGTCAGGACTTATAAGGATATATTAAAATAGATAAGTAGGTAGGTAGAGAGTTGAGACACAGGGATGACATAGATTTCTTCATGCAAAATACATGGAAAAAGTATTAAGAAAAAGAAAAAAAAAGGAATTAATAAAAAGTTTAAAAACAAGCATGTAACAAAACTGTTTGTTAAAATGTTCAATTTGTTGTAAATTTTTAATTTAAAACATCTATGTTAAGCAGTGTTATTTTTTTATATATATGTAAAATTTCGTTTGCGATTTCTTATGACGGTTGAGTTTTTGAACTTAATTAATTTAGATATTTAAATTAAAAAACGAAGGGACAAGGATTTTGAATTAAAACATTTTTATAAAACAAATCTTAATGAAAAACTAAAAATTAAAAAAAAAAAAATAATAATAAAAACTAACGATTAAAAATTACGCGGTTTTACACTTTTTAGCACACGGCGGCTGAGGCAGCTGTTGCGTGTCAGCGTCTAGTCAATTGATCTTCAGAGGTTTAGCCTGCTCCCATGAAAAACAGTCACGTCCGAAATGGCCATAAGTACTTGTGCGCTGGTAAATGGGACGCTTCAATTGGAGATCCCTAGAAAATAAAGACATTAAATAAAGAATTTTTTATAATATCGAATTTCTTACTTGACAATCTTGCCGGGTCTCAAATCGAAGTTCTTTCTAATAATATCCAACAATTCCTTTTGAGACTTATGCGAGGTCCCATAATCAAAAACGGTAATCGATAGCGGTTCAGCTAAACCGATAGCATATGACACTTGAACTAAGCAACGTTTGCAGAGACCGGCTTTAACCAACGATTTTGCCACCCAACGAGCCGCGTAAGCTGCCGAACGATGATCTTACGTCCAGTTAGACCGGCATCACCCATAGGACCACCAATGACAAACAAACCGCACGGGTTAATATGCACAATAGTGTTAGAATCAAAGTATTTGGCGGGAATTACAGGAATGACAACCTTTTCCCTAACCTCGTTACGCAGTTCGTCTAGCGTGATGTCGTCAGAATGTTGCATAGAAACAACAATGGTGTGTACACGTTTGGGAACAGCCGAACCCTGATTGAATAAATACTCGCAGGTAACCTGAAACAAAATAAACATTAATATTACCATTTGAAAAAACATTTGATAAGGTTGGAGTCGGATTTTTCTATAATACAATGTATGTGTAAGAAAATTTTTCTCAATACATTTTTATACCCTACAACGCTTTCGACTCATGGATATACTGCAACACCCAGAGTGATTTGAGACGGTTCCAACTTTTATTACAACGATCGCTCCCGAATCACTTTCGGAGTCGATCCGTCGGTCCATCTTGTCTCCTGTGTTCAACCAGCAGGTCACAAATTTTTTAAATATTTTGATGAAACGTGATACCCAGACACTTTTTGACCTAAGGATGGACGCTTCGAATTGAAACACATGATCGACCATTTCCCATTTAACACATCATTTTGAAATGCCGCTATATGGGTAACTGTATTAAACGAAATTGTCTACAAGGTATATACTCGTATCCCCTGTTCCGGTAGGAAGAAAGAGGGTCATCTGAAACTTCTGCTTTTCTTTGCAGCAAAACGCATGGTCGCAATAAAGTTCCCCACCAAGTAAGAAAGTAAACTATTCCAGCGGTATAAATCAACTATACCCCCGCAACGGACCATTTCCGTGATCAGGCCAAAGCTGGAAAATGACTTCGGAGGCTTCTCACGCCCGTAGGTAAAGGCAGCCAAAAGAGTACAAAAGGGGCCTAAAGAACAGATCAATACAGGTTTTGTCTTACCTGTGTTTTCGAGTCAGGACGCGCCCATCGTAAGTCGCCGGAACGGCGTAATTCTGCTATTTTCTCATTTAGTTTGTGCGCCAAGACGACAGTCAACGGCATGCATTCTTCTGTTTCATCGGTTGCATAGCCGAACATAATACCCTATATATATATATATATATAGTAACAATAAATGATAAAGAATATATATAATGAATGAAGAAAACTTTAAAACAAGTGTTAATAAATCTGTTTATCAAAGGTTATAAATAAAATAAAATACACAACAAATTAATAACAAGAGACCAAAAACAAATGAAAAAAGCTTAGCGCAGGCATGAGAATCAAAGATTATGAATTGTGAAATATGAGATGCGAATGAAAAAAAAAAAAAAAAAAAAAGAAAAGAAGACAGAAAGAAAAGTAATATTTTTCAAATAATAATAATATGTAAGTAAAAGAACTAGAAAACTATTGGACCAAATCGCTAAAAGCCAGAATTTTAAAAACACAAAAACAATCATCTCCAATTTAATGAGAGTGCTTAAAGCAATCCAATCTCTGATAAAAAAGTATTATTGAAAAATTCTACAAAATTACAGCTTTTTACAAAAAGAAGAGACTGTTAAATATATTAACATATAATTGAATTTTGCACACCTGATCTCCGGCACCGATCTCGTCTTCAGTACGATTAATATGCACTCCTGCAGCAATTTCCGGCGATTGTTGGTCCAATGCTAATAAAACAGTGCATGTCTTATAATCGAAACCTTTTTATGGTCGATAGATTTATGTTTTTTTTTTTTTTTAAATTTTGATTTTATATATTTTTAAGGCGTTATTACACATTAGGTGGACACACATTATTTAGACGCACACACAAACATTTACAAATTATGGAAAGAAAGAAAGAGAAAAAATATGGATAAAAATTTGTTATAATTCTTATGAAAAGTGAAAATACTTGAAAAAACCTTTTTTTTTTTTTCTTTTTATAACAATACAATCTAATATTCACATTTCTATATTGACGAAACACAATAGTTACATATCGACCCCTCAATAGAATAAGTTGAATAAGTAAGTACTATATGCGGTGTAGTGTTGAGAATAATACCCAAAATAGATAGTGAAAATGTGGTTTTAAACATCGCCGCCAACGATTTTATGGAAAACGTGTCACAAGTTTACTTTTTTCATAAATAAATTATTGAATTTTTTTTTATGAGAATATCATCGATAATGGGATAAGCTAGAAAAACGAATAAATTCGAAAGAGTGAAATTCTTCCCACTTTTTTTAATTTTTTTTTTTTTTTTTTTTTTTTTTTTTTTTTTTTTTTTTTTTTGAGGACAAATTTAAATAAAATTAAGTGTTTAAGATTTAATTTATGACGACTTATGAATGATTTTTATAAAAAAAAAAAAAAAAATATTAACCTTCATACATGAGATTTTATTTACTATCAAATATCAGCTCCACTTAGCATGTCTTGCCGATGTCGTATTTAAATTTCTAATCTTTAATGCTTTATATGATATGCAAAAAAAAAAAAAAAAGGAAGCTGAGTATGTATGCTATTTATCGGTTACGATGCTTTTTGTAGGTTTACAATGTTTGGGTTGGCGCTAGATTCCTAGCTAGGATTCATATTGGCTGAGAGTGCGCTATTGTAATAGATGCGCGTTCTCCTTTCTTTCGTATTCATTTATTTTTTATATATACATTTGTTTTTTCTTGCTTTTCATTCATAGCTTTTTATAAAAGTCATTTGGTTAAGTTATAATTTTTAAACTCAGCGGCTTTTGTCAAAGCTTCGGCTTCAGAGCCCCATAAAGTATATATGAACCGATTTAAGCACGTTCGTCTGTCCGCATGCGGTCTGAAACAAACGTTTTCCTGCTCACAAAAATGAAACTAAAGGCTTCAAATCCGAGCGAAACACCCGGAAGCGGATTGGTTAAGAATGGAAAATATCACTCACATCTACACAAAATTATAAGCGATCAAATTTTTATTTATTTCATTTTTTTAATGTTTTCAGCTTATCACTCATAAGGTAAAGATGACCGAATATTGAAAATTATTCTGTACATTCCTCAAATAAAGATATATTATCAGTCGAAAAATGTGTTAATTCTAAAATAAATACAGTGGTAGCCACAACGTGGAAGATTTGTTTCTCCTTTGCGTTATAATGAGTCGAGTATGAAATAAAGGGATTTTTAAAGTGGAGTATGACAAGTTAAGTGTGTTAATTCTATATCAAATATCGCGGACGTGACGACGGTATATGACATATAAAGTTGATGAGTATAATGGATTCGGTCGCCACCGAATATAATTTAATAAATATGTATAAGCGTAAACATCCAAGAGCCAAGAAAACTTTTCTTGGAATTGTACGAGTAGTTTCTCTAATTAGTAAGAAAAATTGCAACTGGAAGTTGACAATGTCATTGACAGTCAAGCGATATTAGTTCGAATCGGTTCCTCCTACGATATACGTTCCAGAGATTCGTTGAAGTAAACATTTTGCAAAACTATTAGACATAAACGAAAAAGAAGACGAAGCGAAACGTAGAAGCGTTTTATTTATATATAAATCTGACATTAAACCTAGTACTACCACATACAAATTCAACAAATCCTCATAAACGTAATATAATAAACGAATTGTTTTGTTTATGCAAAAGTTATTGATTCAAACTATTGATAAATTGATTTTTCAGACATTAATAAAAGAGGCAACTTAATCTCGGCAAACAAACACTACCATTTCCCGACATTTCTAATGCTCAAAGACCACATGGTACGTATTATCTTACATGAATCGGAATAAACTATAATTATTTTTTTGTTTTGCTTATCCTCGTATTGTGAATTGTGAATAGTTCAATAAAAAAAAAAAAAAAAAAAATGTTACGATATAAATTCTATCAATGAATTTCAAGGAATTTTTCATTCAACAATCCAGGGTAAGAGATAGTGTTAAACGTAGTTGTTTTTTGAATTACGAAAACTACAAATTCGTGGCACATCAATTTCCCACATCTTCCGCTGATCAATTTGTTTATAGTAACTTCTTAAACCTAATCCATAGACGATGACCGTTTTTTGCGACAATTTTCCACTTATTTCATATTTCATTTCCAAAATATTTTTTACTTTACTTAATTTCCGCCACAGAGGCCGAGTAAGCAAAAGATCTCAACTAACAATACCATGATTGTGGGTACAAATCTCAAGTGCGGTAGAATTTTCAATAAATCCGATAGCCTCTAAGACTTAGTCTTGGAGTTTATTTCTCCGGCTAAATGAATTTTAATAATAACGATACTTTATATTAACAATCAAAACTAAAAAAAAAAAAAAGCAATATTTGTAAATTTGCCGTTAGTCATGATTTCAAGATATTTATTATTATTATTAGAAAGAAATCTCGTATCTTCGATACAAAGGACGTGTTGTGAGGAACAATTTTTTCAGAACATTTCAGAACAACAATTGTAGTGTCATGGTCGATAATTTCTTTACGAGCTATGAACGGAACTACAACTTAAGCAGAACTTACATAACAACAAATAAATTTTTTAATACCGTAAGAAGTACTATCGAGGAAGAATCGCAGGCAATGTAATATTTGAAGTGCTTAAAAAACTGTGGCCGTCTTTATTCTAATAAATTTTCAATTCTGAGTTTTCGCTTTCCTACTAAGCACACACACACACACACACACACACACACATAAATGCGTCTTCAAAAATCTTGCATGAAATTTCACTCGCATATGTATGAAAAATCTTTAGAAAGTTAATAACTAAAAAAAAATGAAAATAAATAAATAAATAAATGAAAAGAAAACGATTTGTGCTGGTAAATAACCAAAGGCAGAAACAATCTTTTTTTCTTTATTTTATCACTCACTCGACAGTAATATATATGAAGCGAGTATCAAAAGATTGAATTCGAATAAAAATTATTTCCTTTGACAAGAATGCTAATAAAACTGTTGAAAAATTTTATGTTTATGTATTAATAATGCCAAAAGTAAAAAAATCAGTGGTTAGTTTGTTATTTGAAGAAAAAAAAAAAAGAAAAAAAATGAAGACCAATCATGGATTGTGATAAAGAGGCATAAACGCGTTAACAGAAGAACGACGTTGACAATACTTTTCTTTGGTAAGTATTAAAATCATTATTCACCTGATCACCAGCGCCGAGCTCGTCGTCGTGACGATTAATATGTACACCATGGGCAATATCATGCGACTGCTGTTCAATGGCGACAAGTAAATTCAAGGTTCTCCAATCGAATCCTTTTATTTTGAGAAATAATTTTTATGTAGTAACTTTCATAAAACAAATCCCACCCATTTTGCTTTCTATTACATCGGTTTTTTTTTTTTTTTTTTTTTTTTGGAAATTCTAAGCCGAAAAATGGAAACTTACCCTTTGATGAATCATCGTAGCCAATATGTTTTACCGTTTCACGCACGACTTTTTGATAGTCGATGACAGCCTTTGATGTTATCTCGCCACATAATAAAATCATGCCCGTTTTAGCAACAGTTTCTAAAAGTAAACAAATAAAAAATGAAAATGATACTTTTACTTTATTTATTTAGTTTAAAGAGTGCCGCGCTTACATTTCAATAACAATAAACAATCAAAAAAAAAAAAAAAGAAAAAAGAGTTTTTTTCCCACCATAACTTAAACCACTTATGCAGGCTAAACATATCGACAATAATGATGGACGAATTGACATCCACAGTGAAATTGATTCAAAATCTTGCTCTAATCGAAGCTGATGGAGTTATTAATTATGGACTTGATATTAACTTTTTTTAAAAGCTTTAAGGATTACTCAGATTCCTTGTTAACTAAGGATTGCGGAAACAGATCTCCCAATTTTATTAGTATAGGATATAAGGAAGAGCAGGTAATTGATCGAAAATTTATATGAAAGCTGAAAATCGGAGATCGGAGTACTTAACTTACTTAATTATTTTTTTAATTGTAAATTATTAGTTCAAAAATAAACATTTTAATTAATGCTTTTAATTACCACATGCAACTTTAGCATCAGGATCCTGCTTTAAGTGTGCGTCCAAGATAGCATCACTAATTTGATCGCACATTTTATCTGCAAAGAAATACAAAGAAATCAGACAAAATTAGAACTAAGCGCAAATATAGAATATGTATGTAGGTATATATGCGAATGAATGAATGAGAAAGAAAGAGATTTTCGCACAAACATATTGAAAGCAGATGTAGAAGATTCAATTATCGAAATTCAATGCCAGTCGTCTGATGACGATATAAATAAAGAAAATACGCGATTATGCATTAATTTTTAATGCTAATCGGAAAGCGTTCGAGACACAACCAGACAAAACACAACATTTTATGAACAAAAAAATTAAAAAGGTTTTATATTTCTCGCAATAACAAAACAGAAATAAAAATAATTACTTGTTGAGAATGTTAACATCTATTGCAAGGTTTTTTATATCAATAAATAAATAAAGTTCTTTGACGAACTTATGCTAATAAGAACAAGATTTAGGGCGACATTTTGGATACTCATCATATTTCAGTACAACGACATTCTCTTAATAGTGTCAGTGGGTCAACCGAGAGTTCGCTTATTCTCTTCACATATTTCAGATATTAACTCTGAACATTGCGTGCATATTGGGTGATCCGTTAAAATACATACGTTTATACATTAGAGAATAGGCAGTACATTAGAATCTAATAATCAGGAACATGCACCTGAATGATGTGGATCGGTCTATAATCATTTCTCTCTACCGTTTCATCTGTCTCTCTGCTAACCGACTTTCCAAACTCTTGAAACTTTGTCTATGTACATTATTACTTGCTCGACCTTAAAGGCTGGCATGCTCAGCCCAGAGAAATTCTAAAATAAGTATTAAAACCCGTCGGCCCTATTTCAACCGTTGAACTGTTAAATCTGAAATTCATTTGAAATAAACTGGAAACGGCGATGCTGCACACAACATTTTAAATATATATACACAATCTTGTGTATATTTTTATAGTGTGCACAATGTAAGATCTTGCTACGGAAGTGTCGCATTTCACAATTTGAGTTTTCATGAAAATTAATCGATTTTCTAGGAACCCAATTTTTAAGAAAGGGAATGTCAAATATAATATACATTCATGGCGCTTTATCTAAGTCACGACAAGACTAGAAAGATAATTAAGACGTTGTAAATAATATGTAAATAGATCTCCTAAGAATTGTAAGCAATACATATACAATGCTAAAAATCACAATTCACCTGTACAAACTTAGTTCCAACAGGAGTTACAAATAATCGTTGCTTCTGTCCTGCTTTCGGGAACTATGTGAATTTCGTATCGCAATGACAAATGAGTTTTAGAGGCTAATCATGAAAAAGAAACGAAAAAGATACCCAGACAGACAACATTGGTTGGAAGTAGCCCTTATCAGAAAGAGCAATGCCTATAGAATGTGAGAAAGTGATGAATTCCAGTTTAATGAGGCAAACTTTGCACAAAATCACCGTATAATAACTTTATTTTTGCTATAATCATTCGTCAACGAACAATAGAGAGGGGAAAGGGCAACACAATGGTGATCAAAAAAAATTGAAAAGAGAGAAAGGAAGTTTTCGCAAGCTTGTTGGTGTGTGCGCTCACTCAATCTTTAATGTCAATGTCTTTACAAAGATTTCCCATCTGAACCATTTTCAGTTGCATTCATCTTTGGGCCAAAATCAATCATAAAAATATTTCAATTTTGTGTGACGGACAGCCAAATGAGTGCGAAAGTGATTCTGAATCGATAATCAAAGTTCTCGTGGGGTATAATATACATCTACACGACCTTAATGCACCACAAGTGGTGTAGAGTATAAGAACTTTGCACTCAGAGACTTTGAAAAAAATTACGAGTCTCTAATAAATTGACGCATTTGGGAATTTCTGATAGCGCCTGTACAGTGTTATTTGTAACGTTTAATATATTTTTAAACTTTTCATTTCCGCTGTTTACTTTGTGAAGAAAAGCAACGAGCGAAAAGCAAAGCTAAGTAGAAAAGGTTTTGTAAATGAACGTCAAAGCGTATTATTTCAGAAAAGTTATTCGAAAATTTTTACATTCACCTAAATTTAGCAACCTACAAGCGTGTGCGTGCGTATAATCAGACGTATTATCGAGTCGCTTATGAATAATGTAAACGAGCTAATGCAAGAAAACAAAATGAACGGAATAATAAAATCATTAATAGAAGAAAGGAAGAAACGAAAGCCATCAATTGTGAAAAAATGAAGAAACACGTGGTTAAAACCAAAAGAGACAAAAAATCAAAACGATCTGTTTTTATTGTGTAGATATCGTACGCCAATGGAAAGGTCGAACTTAATAATCACATATTGTAAGTGAGCTGAATTTCATCAACAAGAATGACTTGTAGAATCAATGTTAGCTATTGAAAATGTAAGTTTTTTTATTTGAAATTTGTTTTGTTGAAAGCAACATCCTATAGAACGATCTTTGCAAATGTTGAATTGATAAGCAAGACTGCGTCATAAAAAAAAAAAACGCTCTTTTCGGTTTTTGTTTTGACTCCAACTTTTATCTCATCATTTTTAAAATGCATTTCAATCACAAAAAAAAAAAACATGTAGACAACAACTACGAAATTTTCGAAAGGTATACCACCGAATATCTTAATGAGTATAAAAATGTGCTCTCTTTCTCTTAGTACTCCCTTGCCGTAGAAATAAACAAGAAATAATGAGAAATTTAAGTTAATTTTCTCTCAAAACCACAAGAGCACATGGCGTACACGTTACAGACAGTTTAAAGATTAAAGGTGGCCAGCTGTTAATTATAAAACTATTGTAGTTAAAAGTCTAATCGAAAAATATTATATGCAATGTTGCTGATAGCTCGTGATTCTGTTATTCTACGCATGAACACTTGTTTTTATTTACGTTACTTTCATTCTTGATTTGAAAGCAATTAAAATCATTTAAGTTAAGACGCAATTTAATCAATATATTTCGATTTATTTCGTTTGAACCAGACAAGCTTGTCATTTGTTTTGATAATTAATATGAAAAATATTCTATAAAAATTAGTTATGACTAAGAAACATGTGACAACAACAAATGCTTTAAAATTTATATAAATCTTAACGTTTGTTTACTGTGGATATTACACAAATACAAATAGGAAATTTGTGTGTGGTATATGGGAAGCAATTTAAACTACTCCATTAATTCGTAAATGGTATGAGAGGATTGAAGTGTATTTTTAATAGGAAATAAAGGCAGATTGCCTATGTGAGAAAGTTTAATTACATCGACCGCTTCTATTAGTTATTCGGTTCTTATACCGTGTATGAATGTATGCTTTCAATACTTGAGAATATATCCAAACAATGCAAAGAACATGTAGGTTATTCCATCTGCGTTTATAAATCAGAGAACACTATGATAGAATTATTAAATTTTTCTCTTCTCTAGGAATTTAATCAATCAACCTAATGGCCTGCTCATATACAAAACTGCTACATTTCTATAATGGAGATCTACTTTGCAAGCATTAAGAAAAATGCGCTTTGACGAATGAAAAATTATTTCCATTGTAGAAAGTGGCAGCGGGTTGCATCGATTGAATTCTTTAGAAAAGAAAATTTATAAAATGTCTGTCCTCTAATTGTACGCAGTTGAAAATCACATTGACCTCTTCATTGAAAAGTGATTCTTTTTAAAAGAACTTCTCAAAAATGGAATAAATGCAATACGCAATTCAAAAAGAAGCAGCCAACGAAAAATACTCCGTAGGTTTTGTCCTTTTAAATAACAATCTCTAATCATTTCAGTATAAAGAGTTAGTGTGATTCACTCAACTCGGGAATTCCATTCAAATAATTGGAATATTGTAATATTTCACTCCCAACAAAATCATTATCAAAATTATTATTGTAAATATGATTCACAAAACAACAATCTCTCCAATCTATATTATACAAAAATTTTCTTATTATTCATAATTTAATAACATAAACCTATCACACAAAAACGCGTGCGTAATATAAGAACGCCTGGTCGCTCTAATCTTTTGCACAAAGAAATTCAGATCAAAATATATAAATATTTATGGTTGGTTGCTCGTAATGCAAGCATTCTCGGAAGAAAATAAGAAATTGTTATCGAATACAAACAATAAAAGAAAGAATTAAAAAAATAAAAAGACACTGTTCAAGAAGGTTTTTTTTTCTTTGGCGAAAAGCGAAGCCATGGAAAGGAGAGAGTGATTAACTAAAACCACGCGTGCCCACATTGCCTAAAGAACCGCATGAGCAGAAGAAGCAAAATATAAAAACAAGAAGACACCGAAATATAAACAAATTTATAACCGGATCCAATTAACCAATATTGCTGCTACCTATGCACAAACAAACGCACCTGTAAGCTACGTAAAATATATACACGAAAAAAACTATACACAAAATGTAACCAAAGCGCAACGAACGTGAGAAGACGCCATTTTGTAGACGGAATTGAAATAAAATTCTAAAAAAAAAAAAAAAAGAAACAAAAACATAGCGAGACAAGACCCCTAGATATGAAAAAATAAATATACAATCTTCACGCATACACTTTTTTTTAGATATTTACACATTTCTGATCTGTGTAGGGTTAATTACAAAATTAAAAGTTGAAATTATTACATTTTTATTATATCGATCCAATATTAGAAAAACGTGTTAGATTAAGACTTTAATGGATGTTATGATGCAATTATACAGAAATTGTTTGTAATTAAATATATATGAATGGCTTAAAAAATATTTTTTAAATGAATACTTACCCGGGTGTCCTTCACCTACGGATTCAGACGTAAATAGAAATGTTTGACCATCCTCCATGTCAAAGGAGTTAGTGCTGTCGTTGCAGCCATTCGCGTGTCCATTTGTTAAAGTTTGTGGCATTTCTTCGCAGCTTTTCTTATTACACTCGCAACAATTTTTCTTAGATGAATATCGTTTTGATTTTACTCTGAATTCGTTTAATTCAGATACTGTACCACTTCTAGTTGTTATTGATGTTTTCGTAGCTGGTGTAGCTGCAGTAGCGGTAGTGTTGGCTGTGTTGGTTTCTAGTGTATTCGCAGAGCTGTTGAAATTTTTTTTTTAAAGATTTTTAATTCTTTTAATTTACTATTTTACATAAGCAAAACATTTAACTGAAATAAGTATTAGTTTTTCTCATGACTAATTAAATAATATAAGCGGAAGTTGTTTCTTTCCTTCTTGTTCTTTTCAATTAATTAACTCTTTTTGCACTTTTTCCCCAGACGAATTTCAAAAAAAATTTTTATGTAACTTTTGTCTGCACAGATTTTTAAATTACACTTCCACTTTTTTCGTTGCTTTTTGCATATGCAATAAGGATCTTCTCCAAGACTAAAACTATGATATCTTCTCGCTAATATCACAATAAAACCTCACAGTAATTACGGACAAACTGATATATATATAATTTTTGTTGTTTTAGCACAATTTTTAAGCAATTTTATAAATATTTCTATTATTCTAAGTAATTCCACTAGTTTTCATTTATGTGTACAAATTATAGACAACGACAGACCACGAAACGACTGCTAATACGGACGGTCCTCACTGTTAGAGGTTTGAGTAGAAAAAGAGCGCAAGTATTTTACAATGTTGTGAATTTATACACCACCGTGGCTTAGCGCGCCGTCTCCGTTCATTTGCTTTTATTGCACTTTCTAGATTTTATTTTCAAAATATTTTCGCTTTCTTGATTGTATCTTGTAGTTATTCTACTTTATTAATTTTTTAATTCACTTCTACCTTTTGGAGGACTAGTTTTGAAATATTTGTACTATCTTTTATTTGTACTAGTATTTCCTTTCTTTTACCTTCCGCTAATATCTGAGGGATCGCTGCCTGCTTTAATTCTGCTGGAACCTTTTCCCATGTGTTTTTACAATTTTTCTTTTAACCACAATGTTGCGTGTTTTTAACAAAATCAGCTGTTTCTTCTTTAATTCCTTTTAAATTGCACAATAGCAAGTGACAGGGTTGCCGAAATAATAGTTTTTAGTTCAATATTTATCAAAGGGTAATAAATATTAAAAAAACCATGTTTTGGCGCGGCAAGTGATCGTAAGAGAAAAAACAAAAACTACTTTTCTTTCTTTGTACATTCTTTTTTCAATGTCCCCTAAACATATCCTTCATAAGCAAGATGAAAGGTATACGTGTAAAACTATCGTGTGACTTCGTTTTTCAATTGAAATTCTGCGGGAGCAACGTTCTTCTTAGCAACGTTTTTCAACCTAGATAAACGTATTCGAAGTTGCCGCACAATCGCCAAGAGAATCGAAATCAATTTCCGGTAACAGGCTTGTTTAGAAAAACGACATAGCCAAGCAGAATCTAAAATACGTCAAGTGCTCTTAATGACCATCTGGATTCATGGATATATACCTGCTGTTCGCCTTGAAATATCCATCTATAAATTTATCTACAAGCGAAGTTACTATGGCCATAGTTGTAGTTGGCGTAATTATTAAATAGTGTAGCTATTTTCAAGCGTCTTCTTCATTTATGCCATTTTATATATAAATTTCATTTACAAATCTAAGGTTTACTTTAAAAGTCTTATCTAAAGCCAATGTAATTTTTTAATTAGTTAAGATCACATGATTTTATATTACCTAAAGTTATTGACACTTTCACTAATACAAGAAAAAAATGTGACTTAATAATTAAAAATCAATGTTAAGATCATTTCTTAGAATGATAAGGATTTTGATCGACTAAGCGCTCTCACATTGAACTTTCATGTCATTATCATAGCACAACTTCCACTATTAAAATATTTCGTATTAGATTTTTCCTTCAGAATAATATATTTTTATTTTCCCCCGTCTCTCTATAAAGAAATTTCAAAATTTCACTTACTTTACAGAGCAACAATTTTGTTAAGACTGTTGAATGATTATAGATTTCGGCTACATTTATAATATTTCCACTCTATTACGGAAATATCACGTTCGAATTCATGGGATGTTATCAGCATTTTGTAAATGAGATGATTTGAATAATTTTTCAATATGTATGCATATGTATTCTGTACCTGCGACTTGTAGGCTTTTAAGAAATGCTGCTTTGATGCCAGTAGGAGATACTGTTACTTGGTGATAACACAATTTTAACAGATAATTTTTATAAAATAGTTATTGGAAACAATTTCAAATAAATGCTTTGAAACCATTCTTTCCCAACTGATTATGTCTACTTTAATTATTATATCCGATTGCTCTCTGAACAGGGCGTACAATCGATAAATTTGGCACTTTATCGTTATTTTTACAAACAACATTCCCCAGAAACTTTCTAAAGTGCGAATTCGCACATGCGCATGTAATCAACTGACTCCATCAATTGATGGCTTTCGCAGCCATCTTAATTAATTCCTTCAAGTTTGAATGGACATACAACAGCAGACTAATACAACTGATAGCTAAACCTCATTTCGAAAGATTGCATATTTCCCTAAAATCATTATCATGAAAATTGATGGGATGGCCGCGCGTAGTTATTATATTTTATTAAGTAAACTATTCTTTCGATTATTTGTGAGATTATTCTTTTGAAAAAAAAAATTCAAATAGTTATCTGTTAGTTTTCCTTTCAAAATTTTGACCTTCTCACATTTTTAACATTGACGACAACAAAACAAAATTTTCATATCATGAGAAGCCATCGTTTATTCGCGACTTAAGTAAGCTTTTCTTACATTCGTGCAGTGAATACGTGGAATAATTTTCTTTTTTCGTATCAAAAAGATTTCCAAAATTCATTTAATTTAAAGTGAACGGATTTTAGAAACGGCAAGTCACTGTTTCATACTCAAAGCTAGATTATTTATTTAAATATCAACTTTGTTTTTTCTCTTCCTCCCTCTAGCATAATAAAAATCTTTAAATCAGATAAGCCAAAGTTTATTTATTTGTCTGATTTTTAACATATTGCGAATGTGTAATTCACTATCGATAACATAAATCACGAGATGCTGTCTATTTTGAATGAATAATAAAAATGAATAACGAAAATAATCTTAATTTATGTATATACCTCCTGAGTGTATTAGCAATGTTTTTTTGAACTGCAACAACCAGAGATATAAGTGACGCAAATTTCTTCTACCAATTATCGCTTATCTATATTAGGATGTTATTCAAATTTGATGGGTATTTGCTTAGAAAAACATAAATGCTTTCGGAGAGAAATTTTATGTAGAGAATGAAGAGAAACCATTTACTTACGTAAAATTAATTGGATTCAAAATTAGCACAAGGACCGAAGCAGAGGGAGTAATTGACAATGAATATATGATTGGCTTAATGTCACCCCGGCTTGGCGTTTGCTTATAAGTTGCATTTCTTTTTTTTTTGAATTCAATAAGGAAAATGTATACATGTTTAAATAACGTTTACGTTGAGAAAGGTGAAATACTGAAAAATTACGGTTTGTACCCGTACCATAGATCACTTTAAACTAAATGACTAAGGCACCACAAAAAATTTTGTTAAACAAAGGTATATTTATTCCGTGTTATTCGCGACTTGTAGTTCCAAGTGTTAAGTTTGGAATGAGAAAACTTCTATCTTATAGCAGATATAAAAAGGTCAAACATGATTCTGTTATTGTTTCTAAATTTTGAGTACTTCATTCAGTGCAACCAAATGAATCACAAGTAATCAGCAAAGTAAGCAGACAAATTCGCCGCCCAATTCCGACAAGCTCTTAAGTTGCACGGCTCAAGCTATTTATTTGTTCAATAAGTTTATTGATTATTGCTCAAAAGCCATCATGTAAGACATTCAAGATCAGGCAGCATCTATAGTTTTAGATAATATTAACTTTGCTGTCTTTCCGTTTAGTAAAGAGTAGAGAGAAAGAAAGAGAAAGAAAATCAATTAGCGTATAGTTTAGACAAAAGAGTGTATGATAACATAAGTGAGCAAATGCTGAAATAAAAGTTAATTGAAATTGAAAAAGTAAGTGCTATCACTGCTCTAGCACTAGTACTATTTTTTCATCAATATTATTTGGGGTAATGAAAATATATTTCGCCTTTATCGAAAATAATTTCTGCTTAGTGCAATTGTCGTTACAGTGGTTTATGCTGAATAAGTTCTAAATAACGTATGAAAAATAAGCCTCATTTTTAATAATAAAATACTGCTGAGGTGTTTTTAGACGTCATATCGTCGTATGTATGTGTACATAAAAAGTTCATTGGCATTAAATATTAACTGAATAATTTATACATTTTGTTAAATTAGGTGAATGAATGAACACTTACACCTAGTTTGATTACATCTGTGAACACATACATTATTACATGCGGCACAAAGAACATGCAAAGGTACGACCAACGAAGGTTATTTTTCTTTCTTTCTTCCTTTTCCTTTAATGCATTCCTATCAAACAAGTATAAACACAAGCATGCGCTCACGATAGCAATGCATTGTTTTTTTTTTCGAAAATAATCACATATGTCTTTCTTAATAAGCTCATATATAGCAAGTTTTAAAACATGTGACTCTTTGGTTTGCTGGGTTACCGGGATACAAGCAAAAAAAAAGCAATCAACTGTTTTTTGTAACCATATGTTTCTTGTCATTATAAAATTTAATTGTGATTATTCATAAAGTTAATTTAGTTTTCTAGTGCTGACTGATATGTGAAAATTAATTATTTGGAGTGAGAAATTGTAAATCGTTGAATGGGAAATTAGCCGAAGTATTAGGAAATTGGAAGAGTAAATGTTTTACTTAACGAAAATGAATATCGAAAGAAAAACGTTTATAAGTTTGATAGTGTTAGCTGTGTGTGTTTTAAGTGCTTGCGTAAAAGGCGAGGGCCAAGAGCCTTCCGCCCAATCGGCTTTGCCCATAAATATTGTAACAAATCAAGGGCAAAAGAATATATCTGAGGTAGCTGTAAGACCTGTAGAATTGTCAACGAATACAACAAATGAAAGGACCAACTTAACGTCGAATGAAGTTGGGACAATCAATAATACAAAATCAGCCAATGAACATGTCATTAGTGATATTAAAATAAATAAAAAAGTCAACAATAATAATGAAAAAATAGTACCAAGAGTAACTGATGACCCCAAAAATCCGACAAACAATGGATCGACAACAACTGTGGCTCCTGCTACTAATTCTACGCAGAATTCGACGTCAGCAGTAACCGAACCGCCTTTGCCTGATCACCATGCAGTGGAACAGGAACACAATTCGTCCCTCTCCTTGTTTTTCGTTATTTGCGTTATTATGCTGGGCATTCTACTGATTCACTTTATGTTACAAACTGGTTTTCAATATCTTCCCGAAAGTATTGTTGTAGTATTCCTAGGCGCTTTAATCGGTCTCTTCCTTAAAGTCATGACAGGGGAAAATGCCAGTTGGAAACGAGAAGAAGTATTTTCGCCTACCGGCTTCTTTTTGGTTCTACTACCACCAATTATTTTTGAATCGGGTTACAATCTTCATAAGGGTAACTTCTTTCAAAATATTGGCTCAATTTTAGTGTTTGCCATTTTTGGAACAACTATATCAGCTTTAGTCATAGGGGCCGGAATATACCTTTTGGGCTTAGCTGAAGTAGCTTATCGGTAAATATCACTATCCCAAGATGTGCAAGAAAAGAATTTAAATTTTGTCTTTTTTATAATTACAGTCTAAATTTTTCGGAATCATTTGCCTTTGGTTCTCTTATTTCGGCAGTGGATCCCGTTGCCACAGTAGCCATATTTCACGCATTGGACGTTGATCCTGTACTGAACATGTTGGTTTTTGGTGAGAGTATACTAAATGATGCTATTTCCATTGTTTTAACTACTACTATCACGCAATCGGCGAACAGTCGTGCTTATGTCCAAGGAACTACCGGTGAAGCCATATTCTCGGCGTTAAAAACATTCTGCGAAATGTTTTTTGCCTCTGCTGGCATTGGGGTGATATTTGCTTTAATTTCTGCTTTATTACTTAAGCATATCGATCTGAGAAAGCATCCTTCTTTGGAGTTTGCCTTTATGCTAATGTTTACCTATGCTCCCTACGTTTTGGCTGAGGGCATTCATCTTAGCGGAATAATGGCCATATTATTCTGTGGTATAGTGATGTCCCATTACACTCATTTTAATTTATCCACTGTTACACAGATTACTATGCAACAAACCATGCGTACTCTAGCTTTTATAGCCGAAACTTGCGTGTTCGCTTATCTCGGTTTGGCGATTTTCTCATTTAAACATCAAGTAGAATTGTCCTTTGTCATTTGGGCTATTGTCCTTTGCCTAATAGGAAGAGCCTGTAACATTTTTCCTTTAGCTTATGTGGTAAATAAATTTCGTGAGCATAAAATCACAAGCAAAATGCAATTTATTATGTGGTTTTCTGGCTTAAGAGGAGCCATTTCCTATGCTTTGTCTTTGCATCTCGACTTATCAAGTGACGAGACACGCCACGTTATTATTACCACTACTTTGATTATAGTGTTGTTCACTACATTAGTATTCGGTGGATCTACGATGCCTCTGCTAAAATATTTAAAGCCGGGAAAAAGACGGTCGCGTCTTTCTAGGGGAAATGTCGTTGAAGGACCTAGAAAACGCAGCGGTTCTCGCAAACGTGCCAAATCGATATCATTATCGAAAACTCGCGAATGGGGTCAAGCCATTGATTCAGAACATTTATCCGAGTTAACCGAAGAAGAAGACGTTTCATTTGCGCAAACTCGGATCGACGGCTTCGGTCGTTTAGATCGTAAATATTTTATACCTTTTTTTACGCGCCGTTTCAACAGTCAAGAATTGCACGAGTGCAAATCCCAAATGGCCGATTTAACTAATAAATGGTATCAAGCTATACGTGTCAGTCCTATTGATTCCGATGATTCAGATGAGGAAATGGGTTTATCATCAAGTACAAGTCAAGCTACTTTAAGTGCTCGCACATAAATATGTTCTTAAAATAAACTGAAATTATTTTTGCACACATACACGTGCACATGAGAGCTGTGAATAGAGAAAATAAGTGCAATATTTTAAAAAGTCAAGAAGGTGGCACTTTCTGCTAATTTAAATGGTATTGGATTTGCCGAATTTTCAAGGACGTCTTTTAAGGTTTAATAATAAAGAAAAACAAAAAGTCGAAGTTAAAAGTCAAAAGCTTGAAAGTTTTATTTAAAAAAAATACCTCTTTGATATGTGAGTTTTATTTAATTATTTATAACAGTCAGTATTTTGATATTTTGAATGTTTCATAAAAAGTATTTTTATATTTGCACAGCACCTATTACCTATGTATATGTTAACTTGCTCGTTACTAATTTACTAAGTCATACAAGCAGCCATTACACAGTCAGGGCTTTATTATAATAAAAATAATTTTAAATGCGAGGTCGCAAAGCCAAAAATTGATTTATTCATTAACAAACAAATATATAGTTGATTTTATAAAGTAAATAATGTACTCTGAAATTTATGTACAATAAATCAATCGATGTGTGATAAAATCATAATAAAGTCTTATCAAATTTTGTTTTATTTATTACAACAACTACCGAAGCACGTTGTTATATCATTACAGTTGCCCTTTTTTTGCTCTTTACGCAAAAATTTACGGTAAGCAAATGTGTATTCTATGCGAATGGCAGAGAAAAAAGAATAAGTTATATTTAGATTTCTTAAATGCAAACCACATTGATATTCAAGACCAACAGGAAAAACAGAGACTCGAATATACGTAAAATTCGTCTGCCTGCTGGGGCCGTAGGGATCAATGGGGGCAAAAAAGAAAATTGCATCTTAAAATTGGCAAGAGATATAGGGCAAATATTTGTTACATATACTTTCTAAGATCAGCTAAGGACACATCAAAAATGTCACTTCTTCATCAATTCACGCGCTTATCTCTATGCCAATATTGACAATTCCAATCTATTGGTTTCATGTAGTGTCCAATATTTCTGTTATGTGCACTTAATAAACAGCAAAAAAAGGAGACCCCGAACTATTAACCTATTATATAATTTGAAATCTAATAAAATAAATTCTTGTTTAGCTTTTCTTTTTTTTTTTTTTTTTTTTTTTGATAAAATTTTAGCTCTACATAAAATATATTTCATATAAAGCTTAATATTCGAAATATCATCATTATCCATGGGCTGTTGCCACTTATTGAGGATGCGATTAAGGCAGAAACTTGCAGGTTTAGAGGCGATTCATTTTCTCACATCTTCAACTCTTGTACGACTGCACCAGCCTGAGTACGTGGTAATCGGAGGGGACCAGGTTTGGGGAATACCGCGGGTTGCGCTTGCGGTTGCCTAGCCTAAGGTGGAACTCACTCTCCGAATTGCTTTTGCTGCAGACGTACGGATGTATGCAAATTTACTAGTTTCAAGGCAACGAGTGTTTGGCGGAAAGTTCGCAAAATATTTTCTATAATCGTTTTCGCAGATTCACCTGCTTTCTTTCCAAATCAATCCAGTTAAGAGCACAGAAAAGTACAGTTCCATAAATGATATCCATCTCTTTAGACATTGATATAAACCGAACAAGAAGTAGTAAACACCTGAAACTTACACCGTTCAAAAGTCGATATCTAAGTTATCTATGCCGGAAATTTCAAGATAATTGAATGGTTTGGGCAATCATTATTAGCGGGACGAATTTATTTGTAAATTCGAGCAGCGATTCAAATTAAATTTTAAAACATTTATGACGGCTTTGACTTTATATATATATATACTAAATATATATAATATATTGAAAATTAATGCATATATGAGAACAACGTATATTAACCGATCATTTAATATTTAATTTATTCATCTTGATACAATGTGTTATAATATTTGATTCGCAATAGTGCAAGGTGTAAACAAACAAACGTTGATATTTACGAACACAAATTCAATTTGTGAATATAAGTAAGGCAAAGAAATGCGCTGCGGTGATCTTTCCTTTAAAGCGTACTTAATGTATTTTCGTTTTTTTGTTTATCGGTTACAATTGCGCTTTTGACTTCATGTCAAATATTCTCTTCAAAAAGGTATATGATTGTATTACAAGTTCTTTTCTCGCGCTCACAAATAAATATACCTTCTAAGGTATGGTCGATACCAGCGATATGGGTATCAAATTAAACGCTAGGAGAGCGGAATGCGAGAAGGTGTGAATTCTAAATTAATTGTGGCAGCCGCCAGGGCTTAGTGGATCAACGCTTTCTTAGAAGTATTTTCGATATAGGTATCACATGAAAGGAGTTGGATAGTAGAATGCGAGAAAGTGAGTTAATTATTATTTAATTATGGTGGACGTTTAATACATAAAATTTTGGGGTGTTTAGAGAAAACCGATATCTTGGACATTAAAACCTTAAGTAGACCCAGCGGTTATGTGGTTATGTGGTGGCACCCGTCGAATATAACTTTCGTACTTGTTCTTATTCATTAACTTTGTTTAGATTGATTAGAAACCCCGTTCAGTGTTCTTTTTTGCGATACTCACTTGAGCCGTTCCTGATGCCTTCTTTGCGAAACTTTTGCCTCCTTTCGCAGGAAATCTTAGTATTATGTCATTGATTTACACCAAAAGCGTTGAAATGCGCGTATTATCCACCATTTGTAGTGTTTTTGCAAAAGTGAGGCATGACGATAAATATCCTCTGATAGCATTTGGATATACAAGACTAAATAAAGAAAGGAATGTTGCTCTCCACTCGCCACGTGCGTTCTTCATTTCCTTACGCTTCAATTATTTAAATTGCTGCAATTATAAGAAATCGACTGGCAACTACCCGAAAACGTCCCTGTCTCACACTTTGAAAACAGCTGAGATTAAAAGCGATGAAGCAGCAACACATCTTCTGAATTAATGCTTTTATGCAAAAAAAAAAAAAAAAAAATAAAAAAAAAAAAAAACATTGACTAGCACAAACATTAGATTAGCACAAACTGAATAGTACTGAATGAGAAAATAACACGTAAGCCTTCTTAGCATAGGAATTGTTCAATTGTAATGTGAATAAACCATATTTGTGCAAAACCAAAGTTCAAAATGTGTATATTGTCGATCAATGTGTATGTTGTTGTTGCGAGCATTTGTTTACTTGCCGTGACAGTGGTTTCTTTGAATTCTTTGGATGCAAAAGAGCAAAAGGAGAAGGCCACAAGACTGCCGCCTTGTAAAGCCTGTACTGCTTTGGTGGATTCATTTAAATTGGGATTGGAGAGGACTAGTCGCGGCAAACATGCCGGCGGTGATGCCGCATGGGAAGAAGAAAAATTACGATCTTATAAGACCAGTGAAGTTCGTTTTGTGGAAATTCAAGAAAATTTATGCCAAGAAAAAAAACGCGGTCAAGATCAATGCCATAGTATGGCAAATGATTACGAGCCCTTGCTGGAGGAATGGTTTACACAAAAGCAAGCAGAAGCCGATTTGCAAGATTGGTTGTGCATACAAAAATTACAATTGTGTTGCCCCCCTGGACATTATGGTAGCGATTGCAAACGTTGTAGCGACTGCCAAGGTAATGGAAAATGCAAAGGTGACGGCACACGCAAGGGCAATGGTCAATGTGCTTGCGACGCCGGCTATGCAGGCGGTAATTGCAACGAATGCAACAAAGGTTTGTTAATATTCGATTGCTTATTGGATCGCTTGCTAATTGCTTTTTTTAATTTCACATAAAGACATTAGCTCCTACAAGCCGCTATTAACCAGACTTGTATGCATTATGATCAAAATACCATCTACATATGACTACTAACCACACTAATACCATCTAAAAATGACTACTAAACGCACTTGCATAAAGTATGATCAAAATACCATCTATAAATGACTACTAACCACACTTGCATAAATTATGATCAAAATACTGTCTACAAACCGCACATTAATTACTTGCATAAACTATGATCTTTATTTTACCTTATTTATTTAAAGGGTATTATGAGGCCTTTCGTGATAATAAAAAGCTGTTGTGCTCAGAATGCCATAAAGCCTGCACAAAAATGGAGGGTTGCACTGGAGCGGGACCAAAAGGTTAGAATAATTTATAAATTACAGAAAATTGTCTTGTTTCAAGAAACTATAATAATTACTTTTAGCCTGCTCTAAATGCAATGAAGGTTGGCGATGGTTTGAGGCTCATGGTTGTCAAGATGTCAATGAATGCATTGATATACCTCGTGTTTGTCGTCCCAATCAGTTTTGTGTTAACAATGACGGCTCTTACACCTGTCTGGAATGTGATCGTTCATGTGACGGCTGCGAAGGTGATGGTCCCGACATGTGTAAACAATGTGCCAACGGATATGCGCTTAAAGAAGGCAAATGTCAAGGTAACAGTTCTCGATATTTATACATTTTTTAAAATCTGTCAAACAAATGTATTTTTATGTTATTTTCAACTCCCCGCTTTCACTGTACAAACAGATGAATCGTCTGAACAACGGGACAAATATGTTAATATCACTCGCTTTCTTACTTATTTCGGCCTATGCGTGGCCACTTGTGTTATCTTTCAAAGTTCTACACACATTGCTTATATAGTCGGCGCCGCAGTTGCCATTTATATAGCTGCTTCAGAATATTGGTTAAGTTCCAATCCTCAGGCTGCCAATAAGCCGCAACTTGATACCAAACAACTAGAAGAAATGATTATGAAATCATTGTAATGCAGATAATTTCAATTGAAAATCTTCATAATATAACAAATATCAAAGAAGAAATTATTATTAAAAGAAAATGTGAAAGAAATGCAAGAATGCAGGAATGCAAATATTCCCGTTGCTTTTTAAGTTGTAAATTTATTCTGTGAATAAATCGGCGAGACCGCGAAGTCCGTAAAATCTGCAAAACGGTCTACACTACACTGCTTATAAATAAGTTAAACATTTTTAATAAAACTGGTTGTATATTATTTCTATGTGTTAGTTTAACAACGAATGTATAAAAAACTGTTATGATTCCTTTTTGTTTCGTTTTAGTTTATCCCTTTGAGTTCGAGGAAGATACACAGATTGAGTCGCCTTACTTTAAGGATGAGTTATAATCAATAGAAAAGTGATTAGTTTATATCAGAATCAACGTTTTTGTTGTATTCATTTCCTGCACACAATGTATGTTTTTATATATTTAATTGTAAAGGCATTTTAGTTAATTTTATCTATAAATAAAGCGTAATTTAAAAAGCATTTAATATGAAATATAAATATATTTAACATATATAACTTAATGTAAGTGCATGATTTCCATCCAAGCCGTTTGGCTTGGAGGTTATTCAAGCGTCAATGTGGTCTAAAATTTGAAAACTTTATTCAATTGTGAAATATTTTATTTGTATAATTGTCATCATATAACGCCCTATTTTTCTTGTAACAATTGAGGTGTACATTTTTTCCCCCATCCACATATTTAATTGACATTAGCTCTCTCAAACTCTTCGTCGTCAAATAATTTTAAGTTGCTTAAGTTTTTCTCATCGTAATTCTCTGGTTTTATAAAACTACCCATGATGTGATTTTGCTCTGGATACAATTGTTGAATACTCGTATTGGCATCTCGTTCGTCCGTCGCAACAGCCCGTTGCCGTTCGGTTTCGTTAGAAGCACCAGTAAAAGAATAGAATCCTTCAGCATTTAAGGATTGATCGATAATTAAATTAATATAACGTCTAGGTACCAATTCCTCATGATTTTCGTGTTCTTTTAACATGGTTTTCGCCTTTTTTGGATTGACATCCGTTTGCAAATTATACGGATTACTATGTAATTCTTTAAAAGTAATTCCACTTAAAAGAGTCATTTGATCTTTCGAAGCATTTTTGCGCCTCACATTAATCTCATACGCTCGGTAGATTTTTGATTTTTCTCCTATGGTTAGGATTTGTTTAAGCGAGTCTGCAGAAGATCTCGATGATGTGGAGGATAACGGTAGACGTTTTTTTTGCATCATTTGGCGGCATTTGTTAGTTATGCCACCGACAATTTCGGATATAAGCGCTATGAAACCCATTAAATAACCGATGCCCATCAGAAGTAACATGCCTTCTATGTCGGCCGTAGTTAATTGACGTTCCTCCTGTATGACTTCCCGTAAGGGATTTGAAGAGCTGGCTTGCAGCAATTTACCAGAAGCTGAACGTTGCATAGTCCATTTAACTTCGTTTTCTATTTTCACAATTAAACCGCTTTGCTGTGCCAATAAGATTAGATTATCAATTTTTGGTCTATAAATGGCATGCCGAGGATATAGGAACCCCACTTGGAATAAGGCAAAGCATTCCTCGCTTAAATGTAAAGCGGAGCGTTTCGATAGATTTCTGGAAGAGAAGAAAATTTGCACAGAAAAAACAATTCTCATATATAAAACGGTATTAACAAATTACTCATTGGAGAAATTGGATTGAACAAGGTACTGCAATTGAGCTTTGGAGCCTAAAAAGGCAAAGTTCCAGAAGAAACTTTTTGTAACGTTGCCAATGCCTTCTTCTAGCGACGAGACAAATTCCATTTTTTCATAAAGCTTGGCAGTGGGTTCATGGGAAGAATTGCGAAACCAATTTTCCCAACCTCCGCTATCTAGGAGACGCAACCAATCAATCTTTTTTCTATTGGTTTTAGATTAATTCGTTTTCTTTCTTACCCAGAGTCCCCACCTTGAAAAATAATCCTAATAAATCTTTCACCGAATCCACGGTATTTGGGAAAGCTGGTAAAGTTACGAATGCTATAATCGAACCTGTGTAGCAAGATGTCAATATTATCGTGAATATCCAATAAGATCCAATTAGCATTCTGGTCGACAGAGTACGTGTATTACTCCAGGCATATTTACTCGAGCAGCTAAAGGCATTTGTAAACATGCCAAAAACATACCAAAACATATTCTCAATTTCACCCCAATTACCGAGAAGATGACTCAGAGTTAAACGATCGGAGAAAGCAATTGGGAAAACAGCACCCAAATAAATGAAAGTTAAAGTTATCCACACAGGCCACTGGAATGGACCCATTATAGCCCGATACCTGTAGACAAAAGAAATTTTATCGTGCAGACACAGTTGGAATGAGTTGAATATACACTTACTTGGGTAAAGCTTTAGAGGCCAAGGTAACAAAAACAGCACAATCCTTTGAATGTCCAACGGACATATCCGTATGAATTAAGCGTTCAGTTGTGACGTAAATGCCAGCCATTCCTATATCAGCCGAATGTTCGGCTACATGTAACTGTAAATTCTCTACAGGACTGGATAGAAGTTTATTTTCTTTTTTTTAGTTCGTCTTTGTTATGAAAATTTCGCAAATCTTACCTTTTAATATGCTCTTTTAAGCGAGTGTCAAGAATCTCGATGGAGAAATTCAATTTCTTGCCAAAAATATTTAGCAAACGATATTCAATTCCTTCCCAAATAAAACTCTCTTCACCGCGAAAATCCAAAAGTCTCGAGCGAAATATAAATGGTGGTTGACTGGCGGCAAGAACACGAAAACGATGACCAGCAAATCCGTTTTGAAATTTAATAGGAAATAAATTCAGGTGAGGACGAGACAAAGAACCTTTTAGCCAACTTGTTAGCACATGCGGATTATTAGAACCTAAGCCATCTACGTAGAGATTGTGAGTGTACAAGACAAAGGGTCGTTCCTAAGTGTATTTTAAATGAAAAGAATAAAAGAAAGAAAACCAAATAAGTGAATTACATTCGAAACGAGTATATTCGTTATTTAATCTTAAAATGGGCTATACAAAATTTTCACTGAACATCTTCCATAATTCCGTAGTAAGTACTGTTACAGCTCACATTCGAATTATGTCTGTGGCCATAAAACGTGAAAGTAGGAGCCGTGTATTGTTTTCATAAGCTAAAGAAGTAAATTCTAGAACTAAAGAGACAAGATAAGCACTAGCAATGTTTTTTTCAAAAGTAGATTAGGTGCTCAGTCTAGTTGCGCCGAATACAAACTGTACACTTGAATGGCTATTAGTCCCATGAGATTAATTACGAAAGAACGAAGTAATGTGTTGGTGGAAAAATTGGCGAAATGCTGGTCGGATAATGCTGGAAATGCTATTAATTAACATAGTCGAAAGAACGCATATTTAGTGAGTGTGGCAAGAGATAGCACATCAGAGTTCAGTGCTGGCAGCATTTGCTTGACGTGTGTTCCCATGAGAGGACGAGCATGTTCAGTTCGGCTCGGTTGCATCACTTGTGTTCTGTAATTTACCATACTGATAGCACAATAGGTTACACTAGTGCAAGTGGACGCAAAGTGTACTCGGTTTTATTGACTCATGGTTTCTTGAACTTTGAATTATCTGTATTCGTTTATTAGTCTCATCAAGTCTCAGCAACAATTTTGAGCTAAGTAGAGAAAGTAACACATTCTTCCTTTCCTGACGTATAACACGACGAATTCAAAACTTCAGACATTACTTGTTCTTTACATTCCTCTCACAATGAATTGCCGCAGTACTGCCCAATACAGCTGAGGCTTATCTTGGCAAGACCTTAACATGTATTTAGACTTCCAATATATACTAAAACAAGAATATGGCAAATTAACGGTATTCCTGCTCAAGATAATAAACTGATTTGTAAAGAGCTTTGGCTTACATGGCGAATATCGATGTTTCAGAGAGTGGACGATCAAAATTCTTACCTCAGTACCTTTGTAAGTTTGTGATTCACCGATAACCAAAAGATTTAGTAAATCCGCGGATGTTTTGGATGCCAGAAAATCTCTTAACTTCCACTGCGAGGCTCTTGATATGATTACTACTTTGCTCTCCAATTGTGGACCAATAACTTTGCGAGCCATTCGAGGTTCCGTTAAGAATAATATAAAATTATTACAATTACCTTCCAAGGTGTGAATAAGTCTCCTAGGTTTGTATTGTTCATCCAATTCCGCATGTTGATAAGCAAGCGGAATGGATTTGAATAGCATTCGCAATAACTCGTAATCTGTATTTTGAACGAAACTATCGTAATAAATAATTGCCGAACATTTGCTTAAATATTCCTTAGCAATTTTATTGATTAGTTTGATCAAAGAAATTCTTTGCCTGTCATTGTTATCAATTAAATTGAAGCGTTTCATCAAAATGTCGGTCCGTGTTTGTATTTTACTCTTCGACGAGTTTCCAGCGTAGCTTAATAAACGATTTATTCGTTCACTCTTCGAAGCCAAATTATTTTGACAACTATTCAAAATTTCTGTTGAGAAACCGTAATGTTTAATAAACTTATTGCCAATACAGTGGAACAAGGCGCCTTTTTGATTAAATTCGCTATAAACGACAACGAATTGTGTTAAATCAATTAAAAAAAAAATACACAAAATTTTAAACATATTTTCCTCTAATTTGCTATAGCTTTTCAGTGTTCAGGTGCGAATGCGTTAATGAGTTCTTGTAACTACTTTGCTAGTGATTTTTATCTTCTTGCTATCACACATGTATTTATAGTTCATCAAATTTTTCATTTACAAAAAAATGTACAGAAAATTATTGTTATTATTTATGTATAAAACACGCTATCGGGTCAACACCTCTATAAAATTAGTTTCTGTGATTAATATATCAAGAGAATCATATTTTTGTTGTTTAGCCCATCTAAGTGGGCAAATATGGAAAAGCCAGCTGCATTTCATTGGAAAACTTATAAAATACCAAGTGCATGAGAGTCAGAAAGTTTTCCGTTAAATGCGTAAGCATTTGCAGATCGATTTATATTACTTAACACATCTGGTCATGAACTTCTAAACCCTCTAAATCATAAATCTCTCGTAGATTGCAAACGCAAATTACTTAACAAGAAAAGAAAAAAGTGTTCTTCAATCGAACGAATATTCGTCATTCAGTCCTATCTCTGGCCCATTTTCTTTGTATCTATTTCAGGATTTATTCATGATTAGTGGAAATAGAGATCTTGTCTGTAGAGTATAGATTGGGCGACGGTTTAAACGTGGGAACTGCTAATCCGAACAAGCAAGAAAATCGCATTTGGTGATGACCGAGTTTTTATATATACATATATAAAAAAACTATATATTCATACTTCATAATATTGGGTTGGCTCGGCGGATTTTTTCTAGTTTCGGAATAAAAGTGGAAATTTGTTTGATGGGTATGTTGTAAATTATAGGTAACAAGCAAAAAACGCGGAAGGCAGAGGTAATCACAGTTTTTGTTGCGTAGGCATGTGGGTTTTGTGGACTTTGACCGACTTGGAGCATTTTCAAATTCCTCTGCAAACTTGTAGGCGACCCCTTAATTTTTTCAAACGCTAAAATCGAGGGGCCATCAACTACTGCTAACTTTAGTCACTTGGTAAGAGGGACTGCAGTCAACCAGTAAGCACACCGCTAATCCTAATTAATTTC